GGAGAAGAAAAAGCAAAAAAAACAAGAGCTCGACGAGGAGAACAGCGGCAAAAACATCTCCAAAGCCCTCCTCCGGCAGAACTTCACCGTCACCGACGGCAACATCGAACTGTATCGGAAGTTGCGCGGCCGCAGCGGGCGGCTGTCCAAACCGCAGTGGGAAACCTTTGCCCAGATGCCCCTCGCCGAGGACAATGTCACCCACGTCTTCGACGCGAGTGTTATCGCGCAGAAGCGGGTCCTGAAAACGGAAAAAGTCGTCGGGTTTCAGCGCAGAGAGCTGTTGAAGTTTCTGACCGACCAGTACAAAGCGCTGGCGGACCCAGAACTTGCCAAGCAGAACCTCTCCGGCGTATCCTGTGGAAAGTATCGGGTTCGCAAAAATGCACACTTTGCATGGAAGACGTTTCGAATAGTGTTGATTTTGCATGACAGATTTACAATTTCGCTTTTCCCTTGATTTGTAATGCAAGTATATACAAGCTCGATATTTTTGTGATGCATACACAAACAATACCGGCAACGCGGAGTTTCTCTCTCGCGATGGCGACCAGAACAGCAATTTGCGCCACGGAGAAAACGCAACTGGCGAAGATGGCAGGGCGGCGAGCATGGTGCAGGACGACGTGGAGTCGGGTGAGGAAGTCGAGAGTAACGCTTCCTTGCGGATTAAGGAGGAACAGCAGTCCAACGAGGACGAGGAAATGCCTGCGTTCGACCAGCAGGATGACGGGCAGGAGTCCGCGGCAGGCGGAGATGATGACGCGGGCGCGGCCCGGAGCGATGCCATGTCGGACGGGGATTTTTCGGTGGAGGGGCACGTGCAGTCCACCTCGGAGAACCCGGGCAACCTGGACCTGGAGATCGAGGCCGGGGAACAGCATGCCAACCAGACCGGAGCGTCTTCTTCAAGCAGCGCATCCGCCTCTACGGGATCCTCCAGCAGCCGGACAGCAAACATCAGCAACATGAGCAACTTCGTCGCTACATCCGGCAACACCTCTGGCCAGACGAGCTCCACTGCTACCAAGTCTTCGCGTGCCGGGCCGCGTCGTGTAGTGCGGGAAGTTATCAGCGCGGAAGCCACGGACATTGCGTGGACCGAGCAGTTGAAGGCTCGGGTTTCGCTGGGCGAGGCGGCGCTGATTAAAACCACGAATGATCTCAAGCTGACCGACATTACGCCGTTGTTTTATGTGCAGCGACACCTGGAATATTCAGCACCGCGCAATGTTTGTCATGCTAGTTTGCATGTGAGGAGTCTCCCCTTTGGGAGTGAGCACTATTTGTCATGCGAGCTTCTCCCCTCTGGGAATGAGCACTATTTGTCATGCTGAGCACTATTTGTCATGCGGGAATGAGCGCTATTTGTCATGGTCGATGGTGATGCATGAAAAACAAAGTGCATGACAAATTTTGCGCGTTGCTGAGGATGTCTAATTTTCTTGCGGACACGTTTCAATTCGAAGCTACGACCAAAACCGGAGTCGCAGTGCTGAAGAAGATGGCCATGGCGTCCCTGGGTTATCAAGTGGGGAGTCCATATCTCCTCCGATTTGTAATGCAGCAGTGCGTCCGGTCAAAAGTTAACTTTTGAAAATGCGCACTGCAAATTATTGGAGATATGGGCTTTTGGATTGTATACGCTGAAGGCCTATGCATTGCAAAAAAAAGAGCTTGTGGTAATATTATCGCAGATCTTTTCGAGCGGCGAGATGTGACTTGTCATGCAAATTTTTCCCGGATACCAAATTTGTCATGCATGATTGTGATTTACGACAAGCGTTTTTTTTTCCAATTGATAACGCAGCCCTGAAACAGCAGACCAGCCATCTCCGGGATTACGAAGGCGGCAAGTTTCTGTATTGGCTCGACCACAATGCCGAAGGATTCGATCCCACTGACCTGCCGCTTCCGCACGACTGGGTCTTCGTGTTGCCGCCCGGCATGGATAACGAGATGAAGGAAAAGGTCGACAACTACCGGGCGCGGGGAATCAAGGATGCCGCGCTGACGTTGATCGAGGGCGGAAAAGTCAAGAAGTTGAAGAAGATGGTGGCCGCCGCGTCGCACCAAGAGCCGGTGGTGTATGAAATGCTGATGAAGGCGATTGCGTCTTCGGACGTGTGGCACGACTTCCACGACATGCAGATCACGGTGGAAATGATTTGCGCTTTGGTGAAGAAGGCGGGCGGCGAAATCAAGTACCACGACTGCTATCCGGACTACCTCATGAACGAATTCATCACGATCAAGTCGCAGGGCATGACCCCCGCCTCGATCGCCGAGCTGCACAAGAAGGTCCTGGGGCTGAATGCGACTACTGCCCCCTTCCTGCCGTTCAAGAAAACCACTCTCACGCTCCTGTGCGACCTGCTTGAGGAATCCCGCCGGACCCTCTCCACCCTGGTCGACAAACTGCTGGGGGTGAGTGACTCTACACAGTTCCTGATCTACTACAGGTATATAATGCTTCCTGTGATGTCGTTAGTAGAGTCTCTGCCTATTTCCTCTGCGGTGGTTTGTCGCGTGTGTTTTTGATATTCCGAATCGTTGTTTGCAATTTTAGCATTACATCTGTCACTCCAGGCGGGCGACGACCCGGGCTGAGTTGATCCTCGCTGTCGAGACCTTCAGAAAGGATGCCCCGACCCACAGCATCCGCGCCCTGCGGCTGTTGCACTACCTGGGGATGGCCAGCGATTGTCCGGAAGACCTCGCGAAGGAGATCAAGAACACCGAAATGTCGGAGTTCGATGGCATCTTCAAACTGGCCATGGCCCGCCAGATGGGTACGGATGTGACCAGCGCCCCGCTGCGCGTGAAGGAGGTGGTGAACCTCACGTACAAGACCCTGGAGTTGATGGCAGAGGACTCGCTGGTGGAGATGGGGAAGTTGTGCGAGTTGGTGCGGGACAACCTGCCGCAGTACATCCCGAAGGAGGACATCATCAAGGCCGGGGAGGCTGCGAAGTGGTGCACGGAGGAGCGGTTGCGCCAAAAACGAGAAGCAAAGGCGGAGGAGAAGAAGGAAAAGGCGTACGAAGGTACGGACTCGGTTCTGGCGGGAGGGGCGAGGAAGAACAAGAAGCAGGCGGAGGAGGATACTATGATGTTGGCGGACCGGCTGGAGGACGCGAAGAAAGCCCAGGCCGCTAAGCGGCAGCGGGACCAGATGCAGAACTCCTCCTCCAGCAGCTCGGGGACGAACAACAACGGGTTGAAGTTTGCGAAAAAGGACCAGAACGTTTTCATGGACGAGCTCGAGGCCTTGTACCAGGACGATGACGACAGCGAGTAGTCTGGCGGAACAGGTCAGCACAAGCCAACGACACTAGCAGCAGTACTACCAACAGTTAATAGCAGTGAATTCATCCAGAAGAGCAGAACAACCATCCTTCAATAGTTTCAGCAGTCAGTCTCTGTGATCAGTACCGAAAAACAACCAGAAAATTGATCTTGCAACTTGCAGCAGCAGAAAAATCCTGATGATTAGTAGACAAACCTCCTCGCCACATCACTGCCGATCAAATTCGGTGAAAGAACTGCGCGAGCACCCGAGAACTTTGCCGCTTTGCCTACAATGCATTGCGTCGCCCCTTTACTAATTTTGAGTACGCAACAGCAACAGTCTTGAACAATGTAAGAAATTCCCGTCGAGTAATTTTCCAGTTTTGCCGAATAATGCAGCAGTGGCGCATCTCCTCGTGCGTACCCTGTGCAAAAGTGCCGCAGCTGGAGTGTTTGGGGGTTTGCATGACATATGCCACTCGTAGGGGAAATCAGCATTACAGACTCTATTTTGGTTTATGAAGGAGTTTGCATTGCGACTTCCAGCATTGCGGGCCTTTTGTCATGCATAGCATCCCACGACGCGCTAATGTAAACGAAAAACAACGAACAAATGCATGGATACCGGATCGCAAGCCCTGCGCTACTGCCCTCCAGATACCCAGGGCTTGGACTCGACACCAAACGAAAATGTTGAACTGGCCTCCGAGAACTACAGTCTTTTCTTCTTCCCCCCTCATCCTGACCACCCCACCCTTCGAGCAGGGCAGCAACTCGGGTCCGGAGCTGGCATCGTGGTCGCGCGTAGCGATCGTTGGTTCCTGGCAGGAGATCATTGAAAAAGGATGATGTGAACTACGTTTGTGGTTTTCTTCGTTTCTCAGTTATTCCCCAAATAGATGAACTGGTATTTGTAGAAAAAAAGCAACTGGTGCTTCCCTAAACCGAAGGAACTTTTTTCTGATTTCTTGGCAAGTTGCAAAAAAAAAGTAAAGCAAGTGAGTCGGAAACTGGGGCCCTGCAGGTTGCTCTTGTTGTGTTCGTGTTCTGTGCCTCGCACTAAGGGAATTGCACTCGTTTGCGTCATCTTTTTTTGCCTGCTTGCAGGACGGAGTCGAAAATGCCATAGGAGCGGAGGGCAGCACTGGCTGGCGTAGCTGGCATCTTGGGTTGCATGCGCGTGGGCCCTTTGACCCAGCCAAGCCTCGGGTCGTCGTTTCGCCACCATCGCGTCACGGGTTGGATTCACGGGAGTTGCGCGAGGCGTGGCGCACCAAATCCCAGGCGGAGATAATACGGAGCAACATTGCTGTCGGGCTACGTGGAGATGAATGGCCGAAACGTTCAGCAGTGCCACAACCGGGAACGCAGACGGTGGGCAAGCTGACCCCGGGACCATTTTGGCTCAAGTTGGTTTGCATGGAAAATATTTTTTTTTTTGTTCAATGGTCTAAATGGCTCGAATGGTTATGGTCAGTCTGACCCTCTTGAATCCATAGAAGATCTGATATTCTTGATCTCTGTCATCAATTGATTTGAAAAGATTTCGAATCAGGGGAAAAATAATGATGTTGATGTTGATGATTCATTCTGATTTTTATTCGTAGAAATAAAAAGAAAAAGAGTGCCGCGTTGGTGTTTGTGATTGTGTGTGTCTGCCGTGAAATTCATTAATACAAACATGACAAGATGATGATTATGAAGATCAGAAAATTGGTGTGAATGTAGTCGGAACATGGGGGACATGTGGAGGTGTTGTTTTGTGCGCATGGAGGCCAAGGCTCTGCTTCCCGGGCAGCCTCTGTGTCGCGCTTCTGCGCAGTACTCCGCCGATTGTCAAAAGAGTATGGATCTTGTCGTTGTGGTCCGCTTTGGTCCCGCGCTGCGGCCGCGGCCCGGCTGTGTTGTCTTGTGTGTTCCATAGCTATTTTGTCGTTGTTTTTTATTTTGATTTCAAGCGCTGCGCCTGCGCCGACGTGGACGACCATCAGGATCAAGTGGACGACCATGATCATCAGTTGGTTGTTGTTTCAACTTTATGAATTGGTACCCCAGACCCGCCAACAAAATGCCAAATGCAATGACAATTAGGTGGAGGTCCTGGATCCCCGTCAAAGGAGTGAGATAGTGTATAGACAATATGACTGTGAAAATGGTAATAAAAGCCATCAACATGAGGAAGGATCTTATTGGGTATGCGTATGCCGTTGCTGGAGCCCGACGTAAATTGTTCCATGTTCCTGCTGCGACCCAAGAAAAAAAGTTCCATGCTAGTCCTGGTGCTGGCGCTAAAAACGTGTGCCAACAGGAGGAAAACAAAGCAGAGCAACATGATGTGCACGCTGCGCAGCGGTCCTTCCTTGTGCTCGGTGTTACTACAGTTTCCGGGGGTCCCGGAGGGCCTCCCGATCCGGGGCGCAGCGCCCCGGAGTGTTGCTTGGGGAGTTCGGTAGGCAGCAACTTTGCATCTTCAGCAGACGCAGTGCCTGTCGCTCGTACCGGAGCACCGACAAGGCCGCGGCGGGCCGCTGGGGTCGTCCACCAACGCGCCGCTGTAGTTGCGGCTTGATATCTTCCAGGGCGGATTGTGCTGCCTTTCGGATTCGAGCGCGCTTCTCCATTTTCGTCCCCCGAGTCCAGAGTACTTGCATCTTCACTGTCGGCGGCCCTGCGTCGCTGCCCCTGCTGTTCCGTGACGGGTCGAGACGAGTACTCTTGGCGCTGCCAGAAGTAGTGGTCTTGGCGCATCTGAATGTGAGAGCTTGATGACTTCGCGCGACCCAGGTTCTGCTTGGCCAGGATTTCAAAAAAGGACGCCCCCGCGCGTTTGTGCCCTGGCGACCGCGCAGTGAATTGTGGCACCGTCGGAACGCCTTGTGCCTTTTTCTCCTCTGCTGGATTCAGGTACCGTTTCCCCGATGGCAGTATGCAACTGCAAAAGCAAAGGCGCAAGTGGCATCGGCAGTATCTTCCAGTAAATCTTATAATGTAAATGTATAGATATCTTTATCCAATCTGGATGATAAAGTTTCGCATCTGGCAGATACGAAACTTTTTTTAAACAGTAAGCACAAAGAAAGTTCACTCACGGCAGCGGCACGCTTAGAAGAGCGCATCATGCAATAACGATGAGAAACAGATGAGTGATGAATCGCAAAAGAGAATAGACATCTAGATGATGTATGAAGATCAACATGGAAAACGAAAAAACTACTACGGCGTGCTTTATGTATTCATCTTGCACTTGGCACGGGCGCGGTGCTTCTTTTAAGGGGGATATCTAAGACGCGGCCCCATTCCGCTTGCAGGACCGGGAGGACGTCGACGAAGCTCTGTACCAGGCGCCGATCCACACCGCCATCCTTAGTCTTCCGCGAGCGAGATGGGCCCGTCTTGTCCGCCTCATCTCTTCCGAACAGAAACTCTCCCGTGCGCCGAAAGGAATCGCCTACGCCGCCTGCGATCGGAGCGTGGTGTATTAACTCCGCCAAAGTTGTAGTTGTAGGAGCTGTACCGCCAGCGGCGTTTCTGTTTCGGCTTTGGTCCTCCTGCTCTTTCGCTTTCCTCCCGCTGACCGACAAAAAGCCTTGCACGAGCAAAAGCATCGCGACAATTACGCCGGCAAATTGAGCCTCCGGCGATGCTGCTATCCTGCTGGGAAAAAGAATCATACTCGTTGCTTGGCGTGCCAATTTTTCAATATCGCAGTGTTGCATGACACGGAGGCACTGGGCCCTCTTAGTTTAAGTCGCTCCGCACTAGCTCTTCGACTAGCGAAGCATACAAAAAAGTCATTGCAAAGGCAAGCCGCGGACGGGCACGTGGAGAGCCGATGCATAAGGAAACACAAAGAAGGCAATTTCTAAACCTACCTGCGAGTAGAAGATAGTTTTGCATTCAATAGACGCCACCATCTCGGAAAATGATGAAGCTGGACCGGAAAGAACAGTGGCAGTGCGTGGGGTAGTTTTCGTCGGAGCCGCCTGGTTTAGTATTACATCTGCATCAGCGCGCTCTTTCTCATGGTTCTCATAGGGTTCTCGACGTGTCCTCGTCTGCTGCATCTGTTCCCGCCTGTTACCCTGGAAGAACTGCAGGAGGCTCCCCTTTGGCGTTCTGTTCGCGATCGTTCTCGTTGTTCTCGGGATCTTCGTGTCGTGGCCGTCCTTTTCTTGTGTAGTTTCTGCCCCGAGATCGCGCGCCCTTCCCAGTGTTCCCAGGAGCCAGCCGGATAGAACGTCCACACTGGTAAAATGTTGCCAATCGATTCCCTGCACTACGCGCTTGACAATGGGGAGCAACAATCGAGCCGGGGCTTGGTCTGGCGCGTCATTATCTTCCGCAGGCGCCCCAAACATCTCTCCAAACATGTCGAGCGTGTCGCTCACGCCGGACATTGCGCGCCTCGCCCGGCCGAAGTACGTGCCAGTGGTAGACGGAGCTGATTTTTTTCCGCCGCCTGTTCCCGTAAACAAGCCGAAGCCACGCACTTCGGGCATCAGGAGGAAACTATCCTGCATTGGAAACGCGAGCAGCTTGCTGTCCGTAGACAAAAGGTCGCGCTCCGTCAACCTAGGAAAGACGTCCAGCACCTGCAAACCATGGTAAAGCGGCGGAGCGCTATCCTGGGTACAAACGTTCCCGCTCCAACATCCTCAAGACGGGAAATCTGCTAAACAAATCGCCTTCGCCGAGCTGTGGTTGTTGAGCATTACAAAAAATTTGGGCTAGCAGGGTAAGTAAGTAGTCTTGTTGAGGTAGTGTAACCACAACACATCACAGATCTAGCATATATCGCTTAATATCATTTGAAGAGCATCACAAATCTGAAATAAAACACGACTAGAAATAAATGCTCCTCATTATGGAGCTGCGCATGAGAAACATGTTTTTTTAGGCATGAGGATTTTTTGCATGACAGTGTTGGGATGGGGACGTTTTTCACAGAATAAGCGAAGTCGGTTTCAAGTACTTTTTCGTCGGCGAAGGCCGCGAAGGTCGCCTGCAGAATCTGCTTCATCACCTATCATGATGAAAACCGCACCTGGCCCAGAACTGCTACTTGGCAGCATTTGCATTGCAAACCCGCCAAGAAAAACTAAGCACATTCCCGGACTTGCATGTATCAGCGCCGCGAATTCCCGCTGCACAAATATCCGCTGCAAAAAGGCCGAGCAACAGCGGCGTTCGTCATGTAGGAGACTAGATCAGGAAAACTCGTAATTGGTTCTTCCACGCATGGCATGCCATGCAACACAAAGATAAAGAAGAAGCACAAGCTCCTGCTTCCATTTGGAAACTTTGGGCCAAACACATTTCCCTCTTCATCTTCTGGGGAAGGTGGGGCGCTTTTCATTCCAATATCAACCCCTCAAGATACCGCTTGGCCCGTTTCCCCAATTTCGCGCGAATTTCTCGCTCGGCGTCCCCGCGGTCCTTCGACGGAGATCCTTATAACCCTCTCACGCGGGACAACCTCTTCGGTGGTAATGATGAAGTAGGAGGCCCATGATGCAGATGCATATCATCAAGATCATCATCATGCAAAGACAAAGACAAAGACGAGTGCGCGCTGATTATGATTTGGCACTTTCATATATATTTTTTTATAGAATGTAAACGTATATGTAAACTCATGCTGGAATATCGCCGATCTGAATGCCCTAATAGCATCTACGTGAAGTAACTTTGTGCTGGTTGCGAATGAACCAGTGTGGCTTCGCACGTTCTTCCACCTGCGGCTCATGCAAGACAATAAAGGCTCCGAAGATCAAAACACTCTCACAGTTGAGATATTTACGCGTGAGCGGGTTATAGTTGTCGCGCCGTGCTGGTCTGCCTTTTCTTCTTGCCCAAACCCGCCGGGAGAGAGGACGTTCTTGCCTTCTTGTAGTCATACTCCCGGAGCAGCGTCTTCGGAATATGCAGCCGACTGGACTGTAGGAAGCCGCGCAGCAGCCGGGCAAGGTTTTTCGCGGCGAAGTGCAAGAGGCGGTAAAACGCGTAGTCTTCCTCCAGTAGCACCCCCTGCAGGCGTTCTGTGGACACCGCTGCGCCGCTGCTTCTACCCGGAACGAGAGTTCGCGCAAAGCTCGCTCGGTCGTAGAAAACTCGGTAGACTCGGAGCTGTCCCCGCCGCTTTTTTTTTTCCCCTTTTTTTCGCACCAAGCCGGCGGGCGCGAACACGCGAAAGCCCCCGACACGCGCTGTGTCCAATAAATGGCTGCCGCTCGAAGTCGCACTGGCCGACGGCGTGGTCGCAGAGGCCGAGGCCTTAGCTTGTGGCCCAGCAGCAGGCGGAGCTTTCGCAACATGGGTGTGGCTTTCATCCTGCTGCCCCGGAGCCGCTAGCTTCGTAGCTCCCGGGGGGAGAAGTCGGAGAGTATCGGCGGCCAAGTCCTCTAGGAAGATACGCGGAGCGTACGCCTGTGGCCCACGAAGGCCAAGGAAGTTCTCCAGGGGGACCGCTTCCAAGGAGATCCGAGCAACCTTCTTTCCGCGTGAAAAAAGGTCCTCCGGACTGGCGAAGGTTGGTTGCGGCTGTTTCTGCCCGCCATGATGATTCGCAGCTTTTTCCTCCGTGCCGACCACATGATAAGCCACCTGCGTCACCGCAAAAACAGATCCGGGGCTGAACATGAGCTGCGGACTCGCCGAATTAGTAGAGCTGCTGAAGACGGGGATTAGGAACGTCACCAGGTCACCGGCTTGCGGGAGTGGAAACAGGTATTGCAGGTTGATCTGAAACTGTTGCTGTTGCAGATGATTGGGATGTTTTATTTCAGTCTTCCCTGGCGGAAGCTTCACGGCGACGGGTGAGGCGAAATGCACCGGCAGCGAAAGGTCTCGCCGTGTCGTCGATTTCTGATTCCGAACGTCGCCTTTTAGCACCTTGCCGACCTGCCCCTGCAGCGCAGTCTGCAGCGGACCTTGTAACTCCGCGAACAAGGGCGACGGCCCTTCGATCGGTGCCGGAGTGCTCCCACCAGCCGTTTGTTGACCACGGAATATGACCTGTACGAAAACGGCTGCGCCTTCGGGTCGCAGGAGACCGAGGTCGTTCCCTAGAAACCGATTGACGTTCCCGGTGTCGGTACTCAAAGCCGCCGTCAGCCCGCCACTTTCGCCTCCTGCCGCCCCGTTGAGGGATTGGGTCAAGAGGCGCAGCGGCGCTTTGATCTCTTTGCTGGAAAGAAACTCTTTGGCGGATGATCCACCGCTCGCCATGCTGATCATCCCGCGCGTCACCTGTCGCAGCGCCACCGCCCCCAGACCGTTTGCAAAGAAGTCTACCCACGTCTCCGACGGTCTTCTTGCGCCCCTGCTCGAGGACAGCTGCTCTTCTTCCTCGGTGGTCGTTGCGACGTCCTGTTCGTCGTGCTTCCTTGTTCTATGGGGCGGAGAGAGCACCACAGCGCCCCCCTACACGATAGTATTTGTATGGAGTTTTTAATATTTTCACAGCAAGATGATGAAGACGAACAGCTGCAACAGCAACACTGCAGCTCCTTCGGCATAACTTTAACTACACACCTACACGTGGACCACTAGAGCGGTATATTATATCGCTTGTCCGCGTCGCCGCCGCGAGTCTTTTTATTAAATAAACAGTGGCGAACGACAAGGGAGGACATCGGACAAGGTGGAGTGGATTTGGAATGTTCTTCATGTTCTTGCGTGATGTACTTACAAATGAGGGACAGGCGCTGGTGGAGCTGTGCACTCTCATACCTCACTCGCGGCCGGGCAGGGGACGACGAGGAGGATCGTCCTGCGGAACGTGAACGACCTGCGCGGCCTGACATCAGCTGCAGCCAAGTCATTTTATTCTTGGCGTGTTCGCTAGGCCGAGAACGTCGGCTTGGAGCTGTCGTTTTGGCCGCGAAGTAGACGGAGGTGGTAGAGTTGTCCGCCGGTGCCCCCAACTCGTCGGCGTCGCGGCCCCGGAGGTGCCGACCACCGCGGCCATAGTAGTTCTGGACGTGCTGGGGCTGCTGGGCGCTCTCCTCTTCGTAGTGGTTTCTGTCATCTGTACCACTGCCTACTTGCTCTTGCTCGTCCTGCGCAAAGAAGCTGCTGAGCTGAGAGATGCGGCCGTCAGGCAAGGTCTCCACGGAGAGAAAGTCAGGCCCGTTATTTCTTGGCCCCACCCGCGGTTCTTCTTTTTGTTTTTGATGTACGTGATCCTGCTCTGCTCGCGTAGTTTGTGGTCCCGTCGCAACTGCACTTCTGGTGGTGCCAGTATCAAATGCAAATACGTCTGGGTCCTCTGGAAGGGTGCGAATCTGTGATGCAGCTAACTCTGGCCACCACAAAAATCTGTCTTGCGCGGCCCACAAAACCTGGTCTCTTTGTGCGACCCGGACTACGATTTCTCATGCCGCGGACAAGGCATGCCCACGCGCACCAGGTGATCGAAAAATCTCTGATGCTAGTAGGACCTGTATAATGCCAGACGCAGACCTTCTGTTTCATACAAAAACAGCAGAGCAAGAATTTGCACTCTTCCAGACGACCCAGAGGACATGTATGCAGTTGATAGGCAGCCTTTCTCGCTTCGTCACTACGTCGAGATGGCGTCGCTGACAGGTCCTGCGTATCTTCAACAGCTGCGCGCAGGTCAGGCTGATTGCTTTGAGGGGACAGTTCGTAATCATATCCACTGCGAATCGAGGATCGCTAATGCCAATCTTGCAATTGCATGACAGAAAATTATAAGGCTTGTTCTGTCCACCTGCATCTGAATGCTGACCAAAACATTGCAGCTCGTCTACTAGTGCTATTTGGAAAAATCTGTGTGTCAACATGCGATTTATTATTACAGATTGAAATTGATGATAAACAGAATCATAAGAGCGATGCTTCTTTTGCAAATCATATTTCGTTGTGCAGATGCTTCTGCCGCCCCGCCTGCCGCTCGCTCACGCCGCCCGAGAAATCTATGAGTGTGCACAACTTCCGCTCCCCCTCATCTGGATAGCATCGATAACAATTTGAAGAATACACAGCAACCCAAGCTCTGGCATTTATTTGTTTCAAATATGCCGGCTTTGCATGTTGACAAACTCGAACAGGATTGTAGTGCTATTTGGGCTCCTCCCGGAGCCTGCTGTCACGCAAGCAATGCCAAGCGGCAAAGCGTGGACTTGCAATGCCAATGCAGCAAGTTGTACTTGATGTTGATTTTGCATGACAAATGGGGGGAAGAGCGAGGGGTTGCGCATGACTGTCATAAATAAAGCCTCACTTCTTGTTCTGCTAAAATTGTTCTCGCTCCTTTCATCATCTCCTGGCGTCGCAGCTGCGCTGGCGATCACGGTGGGGACGAGGCAACACGAGAGAAAACAGATCATGGCGCACCATGAAGCACGTGCTCGCTCCTGACGTTGTCGTGTCCGTACCACATTGAACTTGTTCAAGAAGCAAGGACGCCAGCAGCACAAGCTTGCCAAGGACACAGGCACCGTCTTATTCACCATGGTACTCAACGAAGACTCATAGTAGTTCAAAAATCTATCATAATTTTTACTCCTGGCAAAAACATTTCCATCTTCTTCTGCTCGTCCATCGGTAGGCGACTGCTTTCAGGCTGGCTTACAAAAAGCAATGGAGAGAATGAGTTACGTCGTGTTGATGCAGCGTCTGTATTTTTTGCATTCCTATTCGGTATGATATGTATTGACATTCCAAATATTAATATGGCCGAGGACGACCGTTTTGCAAGTTCATTTCAAGCGGGTAGCGCGGGCTTGAACCCATATCAAGCGAAAAACTCAAGCCCCCCTAGCAGTGTCTCTTGCGCCGTTGCTTTCGGTAGACTTGCTTAATATGGGAGTCGAAGGACTTTAACTTTATGTTTATCTATTTTTCTAAAATTTGCGCACCATCACATAAACTTTTTTGCCTAAGCCTATTTGGAAGAAAGGAGAAAGGAAGCCAACTCTCGCAGGCGAGATCATATTACACACTAGGGAGTGTCGGAATATGCTGTTCCCGTTGCTGCCACAGCCACTCACTTGCCTGCCGCCATGCTGGTGCTGAATAACTACAAGGCGGCGCGGTGGGGTTGCGTTGGTCCTGGTGTTTCTTTCTAGGACCCCTCGCACCAGATCATGAAGCAATAGCAGCCGGCCTACAAACTGAATAAAATCCTAGTACAACTACACGCGGCGGCGCAACATCTCCTTAGCCTGTTTCTCTTCATAGTGGTAGTGCAGAAGAACAAGTGCCGAGGAACTATTTCTATTCCTCCCTCGGCGACATGTACACGCGGCCACGCCGTGATGAGGAATTGTTCCCGAAATTCAACAAGAGCAGAAACTTACACTCGGATCGACACACCAATCGACGCAGCAATGTCTTGCTTTCATCTCGAAAAAAAAACAAGTTGTAACAGAGCGCGGCAATAGCTGCTAAAGCTAATTTATATTTACCGAAAGAAAAAATAAAAAATCAATCGCGTGGCGCTCGCTTCTTGAGGCGAGAGGCTGTTTTCTTGTTTGTTATCTTTGGCCTCGTGGCATCTGTAACCGGATGGTTACATGGGTTTGATGGGACTCAGAAGTTACAGCATCCGGTTGAAGGGCTTACTATTGATGTACTTAAAAACAGTAGATATGACGGCGATGAGAAAGCTATCCAAAAATAAAAGGCTTTATATTAATATTTATATAGTGACCTCAGCGACAGGCTCCTCTTCTTCAGGACGCCCTCCTTCCCCGCCACGGAAGAACGACGGTGCAAAAGCATCAGAGTAACAGTATTTGGGGCTCGCGCCGCAGTGCAGACACAGCGGCGCGGGGATCTGCACATAACAATAGAACAATAGCACTGCAGCAACTAGATCTCCTGGGAGCGGCTAGATAAAGAAGCTTGGCCGAAGGGAAGGCGCCTTCTTGGCGAGGGGTTTTGGCGGGAAGGGCAGCCGACGCACGAAAAAAACTTCAGTTGTCCTGCCAAGCAGCAAAAGGCAATGCAGCAAAGTGTGTAAGTACTTCAGGTATCCGATGCTCGCAAAAGCACGAACAAAAGACAAAGAGAAGAAAAACCCAAAAGAAAACTCGCTGGCGCAAACCGCCAGCAGCAGCCCAAAACTTAGAACGCTTGGCCCGGGCGGCGCCTGTAGTGCCAGAACGAGAAGCAGGGGCAGGGCCCAGCAATCGAGGCAGAAAATAAGCGCGCGCCCTCCAGGTTGTTCTCGTTGCATTCGGTGACAGGCGCGCCCCCTATCGGCTGGGGACTAGAAATCCCCAGCAGGTGCGACCGCCCTCTCTGTTTTCACATCATTGCATCCACCCCCGCGCAGCTAGGGCCAGGGTGCCGCTCTTCGGGGTACATACGTTTCGGCTACCTGTAGCTGCGGTTTGTGGAGGTAGGGGTCACGGTGGTCGCTTGGTACATACAACACAGCTGCAACCCTGTGAACCGCTGCGCACCTGCTGGCGCTATTTGTAAATCGCGCGCACCGCTGTAGTAGCAGGGCTCCGCCACGCCTTTTGCTTCCCAGTAGCAGGCACCCCTGCAGCAGCGCGCTTACTTGGTCCAGATCCTCTACCTTTTTTTACTACTTACATGCAAAGCTGATGAAAGAATATTTATGAAAGTAGGCGGCCGCCCCACCTGCCTTCACCGCCTGAACGCGACAGGCATTCCGGTGGTTGTTTCTGTGCCCCTCCCAACCCGCGCGAGATTGGTCGCTTTTTTGCTTCCGTCTTCGAGACGGCAGGCCGGTCGCGCGTGCAAGAAGAACAACAACACAGGCCTGCTTGCAAAGCAGACAAACCACGTAGTGTTCTTGTATGAGCAGAAAGAAATGACTTTTGGGTCGCAATCTGTAGGCGGTTTTGGGACAAGACCTGTAGAGGTCGACCTCTAGAGGTGGACCTCTAGAGCTCACCCCTACAGGTTTTGCACCTCTAGAGGTCGCGGCCCTCCTTGGGCTCCAGGTTTTCCCACAGTAGTGTGGGGATTCGAAATAGAAAGGTAAGCGAAAAAAAGGCTACCTCTAGAGCTTGGGCCCTCCTTTGGCCCAGGTTTGAGCCAGGTCCGCGTCACAGTAGCACCGTGATTCGAAAAAAAACGTCAATGGCCGTCCTTTGAGCCTTCTTGGTCCCAGGTTTTAGACGATTTGCTGCGAGTACTATAGTTCTTTTGGCTATGCAAGCACAGCCACAAGGGATGAAAAAAATAATTAATAAAATTCGTTGCTGTATTCCACACCGACATTACCTCCGCAAACATAAGAACATGAAGCAGCGAAGAATTAAGAGGAGAAGGAGAGGCGCGTCTTGTTTTGGAGACGTGCGCTCAACGCTTCTTCTTCTACCCTTACCGTCCAAAGCATCACAACCGCGCTACAACATGGGAAAGCAGCCCTAAGCGATAGTAGGTGCGATGGTGCTCGCTTATGACTATGATTTCAGTTTAATGCGGACCCCAAAAAGCTTGGTATTCGTCGTGTTGTGACCACTAAGTCAACGTGTAAAGTCATTTTTCACGACGGCACAGCCAAGAAGTAGACCCACGGGAATGGCGACAATGAGAACAATATGAAACGGTTGAATTTGAATAGGAGCGATGTGGATGTCCCCTTGCGCAGCTAGCCCTACTAACGCGACCAGAGTATCAATGGAAAACTGCAAAATGTTTCATACCTATAAAGTACTAGCTAGCACGGTCGGGCACTGTTATGAGCACCATGGCGATCATTCTTGGCATTTTTGGGCGTCCCCACAAGCACGGTCGGACCGTGCTAGAAAAGCACCCAGCCGCGTGCTAGTAGTGCCTATGTGGGCGAAAAAGTGAATATATATCCAAAAAATGGGCCGCATATTTTCCGGCTTCGAAATATGCGGCCCACTTTTCGGATATATATTCACTTTTTCGCCCACATAGGCACTACTAGCACGCGGCTGGCTGCTTTTCTAGCACGGTCCGACCGTGCTTGTGGGGACGCCACAAAATGCGAAGAATGACCGAAATCGCGCTCATAACAGTGCCCGGCCGTGCTAGCTAGTACTTTATAGGTATGAAACTTTTCTACATTTTCCATCCCTAGACCAGAGCTGCGAGCGCAACAAGCATAAGAATGAAAACTATTTTGAATATGGAACCACACCCGGCGACCGAATCCAGAAACTTCAAGCACGATCGTGCTACAAAATTACATGGTCGCATTACGTGTTTGCAGCACTCCATTTTTCCCCGGGCCGCGGGGGAAGCACCTTCACCGCTTCCTGTGGGACTCCCGTTTCCGTTGACGACCGGTTGTGCCGCTTCGGCGGCTCCAGCAGGCACCGGTTCGCCGACGACCGGTTGCTGCCGCCGCGGCATCAAGCGAACCGCAGCACGGATTTTCGTCTTCCGCAAGTTCGACCAGGCGCTCGTCCGCGGCAACCAATTCCCGCTACCAGGTGTTGCCCCTTCTTCACCTTCTGCGGGGCGCGCGGGTGCCGGTTCGCCTCCAGAACCTGCATCGATGTGTTGCAAGGACGGCGAGTTCGACTGGGCGGGCCGCGGCGACTGATTTGTTTTTCTTTTTCCTCGCTGCGAGCGTCGGCTGCCGATATTTTTTCTATAGCGCCGGCTGTAGAACGGCGCTGAGCGTCGCTTGGTCCTCCTAGTGCTCTGGCCGCTTCGCGCTTCTTGTGCCGGAGGGTCGACCACTGAGGCAGTCGTGGCCGCCGTACTAGTTGCTGGAGTCTGTGGGTCGTTCGTCGGGGCGGGGCGCAACCTAGTCCTCAGATTTTTCAAGAGACTGATAGGGTTCAAGTTGATCCCGGGGCCAGCGGCGGGTTCATCGTATCCCGCAGAAAATAGCAGGTGGCAGGCCAGGGGCAGGGCATATTTGTATATGCAAAAATAAACACGTACATACACAGATGAAAAATCTGTCATGCCTGTGCTCTTTAGGATACAACGCAGTACATATTTTCACTTTATTTTTGCATATTTATTTTTGCACTACAAATATGAACATGATTATGACCTGCCTGCTTTTTTCTCTACTGGGATACTCCGGCTTCTTTTCTCTTCTGCTCCCGGTCGTTCGACCCGGCGTCGCTAGACCAAGACCACGAGGGAAAATTCATCCCCCCGCCGCTAGGTGTCATTCCTCGAGCGGGGCGCGCGGGTGCGATATGGACGCGTCACCAGGATCGAAATCGGCAACGTTGAAATAATTTGTCATGCACAGATTGCCTGTATTGCAGAGCAGGCAAGAGATGAGGGCAACTGAAAGCCTGTTTGGGGTTAGCTAGAGAGAGAGCTGCTGAAGTAGCACGACAAGAGATTTTTTCTTTCTCTCAACAGCGTGACAAACTGGATGTAGCTGATGCCGAAATTTGTCATGCGCCGCTTAGAAATTGGGCTTCCAACTGGTTGTATCGGTTTTAATTTTGTGCATCAAACTCAAATAAAAGCGGTTCAACTTTGTTGATTTCGATCCTGACGCTTCCATATGCGACGGGGCCATCGTTGTCTCTCCCCCAATAAGCGCTTTCTTCTTTTTTACTCTGTCCCCGGTTGCTGGACGAGAGTATGGGAGTCTCAAACGATACACTCTCAACTGCTACATGAATTTGTGTTCTTGCAAATATGCCAAAAGTCAAAGGACGTAGATTGAGATTGTGATTGCATCCCCAGCATTACAAATTCGGCACAGATCTTACTGCTGTTTACCCCTTCATCAAAAATTTGTCATGCGCAGCAGCTTCGGCGTGTCGTGGATCGATCTGGATCGGATGTTGATGTTAATTTTGCGTGACAAATCAATTCGTGTAGCAGTAACGTTTGAGAATGTAGCCACGTTTGAGAATCCCATAGAAGATGCGGGGCCGGAATTCGACCTCCCCCACGGAAGTTTACTCCACCACCCGTATGCGCTGGAAATACGTGTGGGCCTGGAAGGACGCGAACTTGTGATGGGCATTTCACAACGCCGCGCACAAATAATCCCTCGTCATGCATAGGCAACAAAAAACACCCACAACTTCCTGTCACCAAAATGTAAATGGGGGATTTGTAGTCAACATGCGGACTAGAAGGCATTGCGGAACCTTCTCGGAATCTGTGATGCTGGGGCGTCCATGACGGAACTTGGCCTTCCTCTGTGTCATGCAAAAACAAACAGCATGACAAAAGTGCGCACCCTTCCAGACCCAGACATATTTGCAGTCGATAACCCGCGGGCAGGTACTACCCCGTCTGCAGGGACCTCGGTTGCGATTGCAGCAGCAGCGCCACCAGGTCGTGGTCCTAGGTTGTGTGTAGCAAAAGTGGTCTCCCTGCCGTTCCTCGCTTGATGTGGTCCTCTCCTCGGCGGAGCACCGAAATAAGTATGGGCCGGCGTTTGATACCATTTTTGGACGAAGTACTTTCGTGATGGAGGCCGTCTTCCAGGTTTGTTGTTTTCCATGATCTCGGCCCGGTCGCCCTCGCCGCGAGCATCACGACCGCCTTGAGTCTGACCCCGCGGCAGCTTGCGCGCTGGCCGCGGCACAGTGGGTCGCGGCACGGGTGGCACGCTTTGCGCCTTTTTCTCCTCTGCCGGATTCAAGTACTGTTTCCCCGAAGATAAGACGCGGCCCCACTCCGCTTGCAGAACCGGAAGGACGTCGAAGAAGCTCTGTACTAGACGCCGATCCACACCGCCATCCGTAGTCGTCCGCGACCGCGGAGATCCCTGATCTTTCGCGAAGAGAAACTCTCCCACGCGGCGAAAGGAATCGCCTACGCCGCGCGCGATCGGGGCGCGGTGCATCAACTCCGCCAAAGTTGTAGTTGTAGCGGTTGTATGCACTGCAAATCCAGTATCGCACTCGTGGGAATATTAAATCGTAGGCATGCATTGCAAATGGAAATGCTATTCTGAAGAAAGTTTAAAAAGGTAAATCCACGTTACATTCTCATTTTTCACGCTGAGAAAATTTGTCCTGCGATTTACACTACGCACGATATTACTTTTGCAATGCATAAGATGCCGTCGACCCACCAGGTGCGTTTCTATTTCGGTTTTGGTCCTGCTCTTTCGCCTTCCTCCCATGCTTTGCAAAAGTGTCTGGGTCTGGAAGAATACAAACTTGTGATGCGCATTTCAGAACACAGAAAAATCCTCCATGCATAGTCAGCAAAAGCTGCCCACTTTCTGTCACCAAAGTGGGGGATTTGTGATGCGGATTCGGCAATGCGGAAGCTTCTGGAAACCTGTGGCGCTAGAGCTTCCATGCCAGACCTTCTGTGTTATGCAAAAACAGCATGACTCTTCCAGACCCAGACATTTTTGCAGTTGATACCTCCCGCTAAACGACAAAACGCCTTGGAAGAGCATAAACATGCCGATGAATACGCCAGAAAATTGAACCTCCGGCGATGCTGCTATTCTGCTGGGCAAAAGGATCACACTCGTTGGCGCACCAATTACGTTTATATATGGTTGCAGTACTGCATGACAAGGAAATCGGTCAATTTACATTTATTTTATTATGTCGAGGTAGTCGGTCTTACGCACTAGTTCTTCGATTAGCAAAGCATACAAATAATTGCAAGAACTGGACATGGACGGGTTCCCCGCGTCGCGGGGAACCGATGCATATTAATTAACGGAACACGAATGCAATTCCAATAAATATAAAAGTCCTACACCAACCGGAGAGGGAGAGCAGATACTTTTGCATTCAATAGAAGCCGCAATCTCGAAAAATGAAGCTGGAGCAGAAACGGCGCGTGGGGTTTTCGTTTTCGTCGGAGCCGCATGGGTCAATACTTCTACGTCAGCGCGCTGTACCGTGGGGTCGACGTGTCCTCGTCGGCTCTCGTGGGGTCCTCGACGTGTCCCCGTCTGTTGCTTCTGTTTTCGCCTGTTGGTGTTCCCCTGCAAGAACTGCAAGAAGCTCCTTCTTGGCGTTCTGTGCGCAGCCGTTGTAGTTCTCGGGTCCTTCGTGTCGTGGCCGTCTATGGATGTGTCAGGATCGAAATCGGCAAAATCGAAAAATTTGTGATGCATAACATGTAGAGCACGACTGAAGGCCTGTATTGGGAAGCAGGCATATGAGACCGATTGTAAGCCTGTTTAGGGGTATGCAATGTGCTGCCCGAGTAGCATGACAGGAGGAGTCTTCTTTGCCCAAACAGCATGACAGACTGGATTGGGGTGCTCCCGAAATTTGTCATGCGCCAGTTGAAAACTGAGGCTCCAACTGACATCGATTCTGTGCATGACAAATTTTTCGATTTTGTCAATTTCGATTCTGACACTCCCATACCGTCCTTTTCTTGTGTAGTTTCTGCCCCGAGATCGCGCGCCCTGCCCAGTGTTTTCAGGAGCGAGCCCGAGAGAGCGTCCAAACTGGTAAAATGTTGCCAATCGATTCCCTGCATTTGTGCACCTCAAAAGTACCTGCACCATGATCGCAGCGCCAGAGAGCCTGCTGATACTGTGCCATTGATCACGCAGGTGCACTGCGCAATAAATTTAAATCTACCTTGCGGGACGATTTATTAGCAGCAAAGTTGTAGTAGTGTCAGTGGCTGAAACTGAATATGAGAAACTGCAAGAGCATTACAATTACTAGCACTGGCAAGAAGCAAAGTACACGGTGAAGCTGTAGTTGAAGAAGTGCACTATAATTGTCAAATCGAATGTGAGTTTGTCACTCATGCGATGTTGCTGGTAGAGAATGCGAGAGCGACTGCGACTGAGGAGATGTGCATGAATGTAGTAAGGTGAAAATGTTGGGTCGTGAACAAGTGCGATAGTACTTTTGCACAGGATAGCACTGCGCGCTTGAGATTGGGGAGCAACAACCGAGCCGGGGCTTGGTCTGGTGCGGCGTCATCTTCAGGCGTCCCGAGCATCTCACCAAACATGTCCAGGGTGTCGCTCACGCGGGACATTGCGCGCTTCGCCCGTCCAAAGTACTTCTTGATAGTGGACGGAACCGATTGCTTTCCTCCGCCCCCGCCCTCCGCAAACACCCCAGAGGTGCCCCGCACTTTGGGCATCAAGAGGAAACTGTCCTGCATTGGAAACATGAGCAGTTTGCTGTCGGTAGACGAAAGGTCGCGCTCCGTCAACCTGGGAAAGACGCTCAGCACCTCCGCACCACGGTAAAGAGGCGGAGCGAAGTCGGTTCGCTGTATCTTCCGCGCTACGTCCTTTTCGTCGGCGAACGCCGCGAAGGTCGCCTGCAGAATCTGCTTTATCAACGCCTCAAGATACCGCTTGGCCCGCTTCCCCAGCGTCGCGCGAATGTAGTCTCGCTTGGCGTCCTCGCGGTCCGCCTTGATCGACGAAGATTGTCGCGCCGAGGTGGAGGTTCTTGTTCCCTTCTTGTTGTAGTCATACCCGCGAAGCAGCGCCTTCGGAATATGCAACCGACTGGACTGGAGGAAGCCGCGCAGCAACCGGGCAATTTTTTTCGTTGCGAAGTGCAGGAGGAGGTAAAACGCGTAGTCTTCCTCCAGTAGCACCCCCTGGAGGCGTTCTGTGGACACCGCTGCGCCGCTGCTACGTGAAACGAGAGTTCGCGCAAAGCGTGCCCGGTCGTAGAAAACCCGGTAGACTCGGAGCTACCCCCGTAGTACCCGTTATCGTCAAGAAAAATACCCCCTGTCCATACTTAAATAATACTAAGCGAAAATCAAAATATGCGCTGTTGATTTGTGTCCACTACACATCGACCACGTCTTGCAAGAAGGCAACTTCGGCTCGCCGCCGCATTCTAATGAATTCTGGATTCCGTAGCCGTTTGACCACCTTTATGGCAGCCGTGTGTCAACATCATGCGACACAGCTACTTATGGTTGTACGTGAATTACATGATCTGCCGGCGTCAGGGATTTATTATTGTGTACACAAATTCGGCATCCCGAGTTTCGGTTTTGATTGTAGTGCTAGTGGGGAGCAGGTGGTTTTTTCATTTTGTTGATTTTGATGCCCGCTGTTTTATTTTTTTCCCGGTTTGCGCCGAGCCGGACGCCGTGAACACGCGGAAGCCCCCAACTCGCGCGCGCGAAGAACTGCCGCTCGAAGTCGCGGCTATGGCGTTCTCAACCGTTACATTTTCAACTGTTCTTACATGGGTTTGTGATGCAAGAATGGCGAAAGAAGTCAAAGCAAGGAGGTTGCACCTGTAGCATTACGAATTCCGCACAGATTTAGGTGCTGTTTAGACTTGTTAAAATTTACCATGCGAAGTAGCTTCGCCTTGTGGTCGCGAGTGTTGATGTTCGTTTTGCATTACAAGTCATTGTATAACAGCTGAGAATGTAACAGTTGAGAACGCCATAGCGGTGGCCGACGCTTTGGAGGCTTGTGAAGGTTCGGCAGCCTTCGGCGCATGGGCGTAATTTTGATCCTGCAGCTGCCCCGGGGCAACTGGCTGCGCAGTCCCTGGGGGGAGAAGCCGGAGAGTATCGGCGGCCAAGTCCTCTAGGAAGATATGGATGCGTCAGGAATGAAATCGACAAAGTTGAAATGATTTGTCATGCATAAAATGCAGACCACAAAGCGCCTGTCTTGCAGGGTAGGCAAGTGAGGCAGATCGTAAGCCTGTTGGGGGGTAGACACTGGATTGGTAAAGTAGCACGACAAAAGGCGCCCTCCTTACCCAAACAGCATGACAAACGGGATTTCGGCTTTACCCAAATTCATCATGCACCACTCGCAAACTGGGTATCCATTTTATGCATGGGAGATTATTTCAACTTTGACGATTTCAATCCTGGCACTCCCATAGACGATACGCGGGGCGTACGCCTGTGGCCCGCGAAGGCCAAGAAAATACTCCAGAGGGACCGCTTCTAAAGAAATCCGGGCAGCCTTCTTGTTATTCTTATTTCCGCGTGAAAAAATGTCCTCTGGACTGGCGAAGGTTTGTTGTTGCTGCTGTTTCCGCCCGCCATGATCATGATTCGCAGCTTTTTTATCCGTGGTATCAGCCACGTGGTAAGTCAGCTGCGTCACCGCAAAAACAGCGCCGGGGCTGAACATGGGCGGTGGGCTCGCCGAGGTAATATATCCCACAGAAGAAGTGAAAGGGAGGCAGCACCACATAAATTAAAATTTGCAATGCAAAAACACAAAATAAATCTCTCGTCGCGCGTGCTGTCCTAATAAGCAGCATGCTATACCATCGCCCATGACAGATTTATTTTGTGCGATTTGCGTCACGAAGATCAATCATGATCTGCCGGTCTTTTTCTGTGGGATACGGTAGAGCTGCTGAAGACGGGGATTAGGAACGCCACCAGGTCACCGGCTTGCGGGAGTGTGTGGCGTTCTCAACTGTTACATTCTCAATTGTTACATGAATTTGTGATGCAAGAATTGCAAAAGTGAAAGGGGGGAGGTTGCACCTCTAGCATTACAAGTTCTGCACAGATTTAGGTGCTATTTAGCCTTTCAAAAATTTGCCATGCGAAGTAGCTTCACCTTGTGGATGTTGATGTTCCTTTTGCATCACAAATCATGTAACAGCTGAGAATGTAACGTTTGAGAGTCCCATAAAGTGGAAACAGGTATTGCAAGTTGATCTGAAACTGCTGCTGTCGCAGGTGCTGATCACGATCGTTTTTACCTATTTTTTGAGAAGTCTTCTGCGGCGGCAGCTTGACGGTAACGGGTGAGGCGAAATGCACCGGCAGCGACAGCTTCCTCGGCGACGATTTCTGAAGATTCCAAATGTCGCTTATGGGATTCTCAAACGATACTCTCTCAACTGTTACATGATCTGTCATGCAGAATGCTGATCAGGATCAGCATCCACATGATCAGGCTACTTCACATGACAAATTTGTGAAGCAGGGCTAATGAAAATCTGTCGTGCCAAATTTGTAATGCGAGAGGTTCAAGCCCCCTTCTCTCACGACTTCACTGTTTCTATTCTTGCAAGAACAGCTAAGAGTGTAACGTTTGAGAACGCCATATCGCTCTTGAACACCTTGCCGACCTGTCCCTGTAGCGCTGTCTGCAGCGGACCTTGTAACTCCGCGAACAACGGCGGGCCTTCGATCGGTGCCCCGGCCGTTTTATGCATTGCAAAAGTAATATCGCACTCGTATAAATGCATGACAAATTCCCTCAGCATGAGAAATAAAGATTGTAGTGCGGATTTACCTTGAGAAAAAAATTTGTAACGCATGATTGCAATACGAGTACGATACTTTTGCACAGGATACGTTTGATGTTGACCACGGAATATGACCTGTACGAAAACAGCTGTGCCTTCGGGTCGCAGCAGGCCGAGGTCGTTCCCTAGAAACCGGTTCACGTTCCCGGTGTCGGTACTCAAAGCCGCCATCAGCCCGCCACTTTCGCCTCCTGCCGACCTGGTGAGGGATTTGGTCAAGAGGCGCAGCGGCGCCTTGATCTCTCTGCTAGAAAGAAATTCTTTGGCGGAGGATCCACGACCGCTTGCCACGTTGAACATGCCGCGCGTCACCTGTCGCAGCGCCACTGCCCCCATACCGTTTGCAAAGAAATCTACCCACGTCTCCGACGGCCTTGCGTTCTTCTTCTTCTCACCTCCTCGTCGGGAAGTAAAGCCAGCATGTTCTTTGGAGCGCGCACGACCTGACATCAGCTGCAGCCAGGTCATTTTTTCGCCGCCTTTGGTGAAAATAGTTTTAAAGACTATAGACAGATAAGGACTTGACTCAAAAGCTGTAGGGAAGAGTTGCGAAAACCTTAAACAGGCTCTAAAGTTGCGGCTCAACCTGCAGCAAACCTGGAGCAAACCCCTAGGGCTTTTCAAAATGGCGCTGCTTGCTACTCGCGAAAGCGCACGCTATTCGGCCCAAAAGATGGGGGTCGACCCGTAGGGAACAAGAAAAAATCACGAAAAGCGCGACACTTTGGAAGCGCTGAACCTGCATGCTATTACGACAAAGCCTGGAGCTTTTCTGGGACTCGAGCTCTAGAGCTTTTCACATACTTGCGCTTTTATTTTTCGAAAGCGCATGCTGCTGTGGAAATATTTCCGACAAATTCTGCGACTTGAGCTGTAGGGGTTCAGCGCGATGAACGACAAAGAAACCCCTGGGCGCTGCAAAAATAGCCCGAGCCCTACACGCAGCGACGGCCCCCGCGCTCAGAAGAGAAGCCCTGCAGCGAGCGCCCTGCAAGCAAGCATGCCTGGAGATCGGCCTGCAATGCCCCAAGCAGTCCTCTGCGCCCTCGGCTGCACACCTTCCCTGTAACCAACGCCCCGAGCCCGGGCCATTCACTACGCGGCCCCTGCGGAGAGGGGGGCCGCCTCGGCGCCTACTTCGACGCCTATTTCTACGCCTACCCCTGCGCCTACGCCTACCCCTGCGCCTACCCCTACGGCAACCCCTACGGCTACCCCTACCCTACGGCTACCCCTACCCTACGGCTACCCCTACGGCCACCCCTACGGCTACGGCTACCCCTACCCCTACCCCTACCCCTACCCCTACCCCTACCCCTACCCCTACCCCTACCCCTACCCCTACCACGTCCCTGCCCCTACTACGCCGACCCCTACCTCTACGCCTACTGCTACGCCTACTGCTACGCCTACTTCTGCGCCTACTTCTACGCCTGTGGCAGGGGGCGCTATTTTTTTCAGCAAAGCCTCCCCCGTCGCCACATATGATTTTACGGCGCTCCATAGGCATACAAGCTTGCACACGCACAACAGATCTGTGCGCGCGTAGAGCGAGGCGCCGCCTAGAACTCAGCTAGCTCCTACGCAGAACGAAGGCAGGAGAAAGGTGGCCGCAGGAGCAGCCGCGCGCGGCCATGGATTCAGTCCTTGGCGATGTGGCCTCAAGGTACGTGACACGCAAGCCCCCGCCGCGGCTTTGGTGTATGCGTATGGGCAGGCGCTTCAGGATAAATCAGCGACGGTCTCAGGATAAATCGATGACGCTCTGACTAGCTTTGGAAGCAAGGGCCCCACGCGGGCGGCCGATACAGGATAGGCTGGCACCTTGTTCGGCGCCTTTGAATTTATTCCCGGCCAGGCTGTGACGCAAGCCTCCGCTTCGGCCGGATTCGCGATGTCGCTGCTCGCGACGTAACTCCTGAAAATCTGCGAACTTGCGCAAACGAAAAGCGGGGGCGGGCTTGGGGGGCCCCCTTTCATGAGGATACCAACGGGGGGTCGGTAGCCCTGCGAGAAGGCCTTAAAGGGGGGGCCTGGAGGACCTCGGAGGCACCCCAACCCAAGGGGATTTCGGCTTGCAGCCCAGGAGGGCGCTCTGTTGGTCTCCGTGCAAAACAGTCGGGGCGAAGAAACGCCGCGTGGGACCAAGGGCCGGAAGAGCGCCGCGGCCGGCCGCGGCATCAATGAATGTCATCGGCAAGACCGCGCACGGCTTTGAGAGAGTTATTCTATCAAAGGCCACGCGTGGGCGCCTGTTTCGCCTGTTGGGGCGTGGGCCTATTGTTGGCTCCAGTTCGCAGCGCCTGTGGCTTTGGGTTGGCCGCGTATAATTGCTGTCATTTTAAACGAACCGGCAGCACTGCAGGGGCTGTCTGTTGGACATCTACGCCGGCCATGACCGACGAGCGCACGCAAAGCCGTGACGCAATGCGCCACCAATCCTGCCTTCAGACTACCGAGCCCAGAATACCGCGGCAGGCGCTGTTGCTACGCGGTCGATTTCCACCGCCCACGAGGTATCTCCTATCTTATCTAGCGACGTCGACGGGTGAGCCATATGTAGCCGAAAACAGAGCAAAGCTTTTTGAAAAAAAGCGCTTCCCATGCATTGCCCTAGCGCCTACCCCTGCGCCTACGTACCCCTGCGCCTACGCCCGCCCCTACGGCTACCCCTACGGCCAGGCCTACCCCTACGCCTACCCCTACCCCGACCCCTACCCCTACTACGCGCGCCCCTACCTCTACGCCTACTTCTACGCCTACATACTTCCACCCCTACTACGCCTACCCCTACTTTTACGCCTACTTCTACACCTACTTCTGCGCCTACTTCTACGCCTACTTCTACGCCTACTTCTACGCCTACGCCTACTTCTACACCTACCTCTACGCCTACCCCGCCGCCTATTTCTGCGTCTAATTCTACGCCTACTCCTGCGCCTATTTCTACGCCTGCGCCTATTGCTGCGCCCTCAGCTACGCCTACTGGCCAGCTGCGTTCGCGGGCAACCGGGCCCCCAGTAGTCGGCGCGGCCCACTAATCCCCCCGCCCGCTCCTCGGGCGACGCCGGAGGCATTTTGATGGCGCCCCCGCGCCGCTTTGATTGAGTTTATTTGTTAAGGGCACACAGCGGAAGGCAGTGCCTATGAATTGCAGTCGCTTTCGGTCTTCTTTGGGCCGGTTTTTTGCTTCATTGATTCAAGCCGCCGACCGCATGGGGACCAGGGGCGGAGCCCGTGCAGGTCTCGCAGGCTCCATCCTCGGCGACTTCCATGCACTAGATATCGACAGACCCTACAAAACCTACAAGCCTTCGAGTCAGCTCATCTATGTGTCTATAGTGCCTCAATTATGAAGAAGTTGCCGCGCCGTTGTGCCAACACGGCGGCGCGAGTGCAACATATGATCACTGGGACGAGCAGCCGTCGTTTTTGCCGCCAAGTAGACGGAGCTGGTGGAGTTGTCCGCCGGTGCGGGTGCCCCCAACTCCTCGTCGACGTCGCGGCCCCCGAGGTGCTGACCGCGGCCATAGTAGTTCTTGATGTGCTGTGCGACGTTCTCCTCTTCCTCGTAGTGGTTTCGCTCATCTGTACTACTGCCTCCTTGCTCGTCATGCTCATCCTGCGCAAAGGAGCTGCTGAGCTGAGAGATGCCGCCGTCAGGCAAAGTCTCCAGGGAGAGAAAGTCAGGTTGAAGTTTGTTTGTTCTTGTTGGCCTTGGCCCTTCATCATATCCACTGCAAAGAAAGCATCGCAATCTTACTTTTACTTTATCAGCGGCAGTTTTGCATGACAGAACAGATAGGGGTCGTTCATGTGATGATGTCCATCTGCATCTGAACAATGGTGACCAAGACAAATCAAGTGCGCTGCTCTTCTTCTAGTTCTATGTATATAGGAAAATTCTGTCATGCGAAGATTTGATCGAAGAGCGATGCTTTTATTGCAGTGCATATTTTATTACCCAGTAGATGTTTCTCCCCCGCATGCCGCTCGCTCTCGCCGCTCGAGAAGTCCTCACTTCTGCTAGATCTAAAACCTTTCTCGCCTACTTCCCTTTCATCATCTGCACTAGTTTGTTCCGTCGCAGCTATGCTGCCGACCACGGTAGGAACCTCCACTCGCAACCGCAAATAGCAGGGCGAGAGAAACCAGATGGCGCCCAATAAAGCACATGTTGCTCGCTGAAGCTGACGTTGTCGCCGTATCACTTTCAACTGCTTTGGCGGTGGACGACGCCAGCATAATATGCTGGAGAAGGACGCAGCCACCGTCTTGCTCAGCATGGTAGTCAAGGCTCGTTCATCAACATCAGGCATTGATTTCTACTACTGACGAAAACTGCATCTTCTCTTGTGCTCGTCGGTGGGCAAAGGCTTCGAAGCTGCAAGGAAGCAACAAGAACGAAGCAGAGAAGTATCGTGATATAATTATTTCCGCTATAAGTGCCAATAGTAGCCGCGTCCGCGGAGGTAGTGAGGTCATGGCGGTCTTTTTGTCTTCACGCCAAAAAAGGACGCAAATTCTCTGCCCACCATGCCCTCGTGAGTAATGTTATGCACGATGGCACGGCGGTCGCTAAAAATCTCAATCCAGAGGCGGCCTCCATTTGGTTTCGAATCGAAAAACCTTCCCCGCATGCTATGGCCCCGCCAGGGCCCGCGCCAGGGTCGGCCCCTTGGGAGCCCCAAATCGGGCCCATAGCATGCGGATTGGCTTTTTGCTTTTGGCGGACTTTGTTTTTTTTGTTTTTTTTTGTCAAAATGACGCATCTTCTGGCCTTCAGTCCGCCTCTGGAATGGCGGACTTTGAAGGCGTCTTTTGCGGGGCCCGAATGTGGGGCAAAATGAGGCCCATATCATGCGGATTCGCTGTTTTTTTCGGAGTGCTGCTTTTTGGGCGCCCATTTTTGGGCGCCGCAAATCGCCAGAAACTAAGGCGGTGGGCGCCTCAGAAGGGCGCCCCTTTTGCCGGCTCCCCTGCGTCGTTTTATCAAGCGGGAATCGATAGAATCCGCTCGGGCTTTTTTGCCGCAAACGCCCCGGCCGCTTGATATTTGAAAATATTTTATGTTCAAAAACACCTCCGGCCGCTTACAAACTGCCGGTCGTTTTGCATAAGAGGTGGCAAAAAGATCGCTAGATTAGAACGTTCGTGACCTCACTACATATAACCTTACATATTTTTAGAAATTCAAATTTTTCATGCCTACGGACTTGGGCCAACATCAAATACAAAGGACAAACTCAATTCATTGTGTGATGACATCAAGAACTACAACATGCACGCATACTCATACATTGAAGATGGCCAAGCCCGTTCTGCCGCATCTCTCCTCGCACTCTCGCTTCATCCCGGCGTGGACCTTAGTTAGGGGTTGAAAGAATTAAGGTTTTGATCAAGGTTTTGAGTTGCGATTTTTCATTTTTTTTCTCTTCGCTCTGAATGGAAAAGGAAAGCGCAGACCATCCAGCCGAAAAAGCTCGCTGCGCCGATGTCAACATCTCGGCCGGTATCCAGACCAGCAAAAGCCGGGCAAAATGGAGGCCGCGCGCTTGCTGCTTCCAGCCTCTCCCCCGGGTGAATACGATGAAGCCGCGGCGGCATTTTTTTCGACTTCTGCTGACCTGGACTGCTGGCCAAGATATTAGCCTCGGCACCTCCCCAGAAGAACCCCTGACGCATGCCACCCGCCGCGAGGTATTTCGGGCGCCGGGCTGCTGGCCCGGCTTCTCCGCCCCCAGATCTCATCCTGCGGTGGCGCGTAGCGGGGTCCGGGGGAAGAGGCTGAGCAGCTGCGGGCTTGCCCGGCTGGAGGTTTGGCCGGATCCCGGTTGCCGCCGAGGCGGCAAGTTCTCGGCTAGGCCTTTTCATGACAAAAGCGCACCAAAATGGAAGCAGGCTCTGACTTTTTCCGGGAGCTTTCCCCAGCCTAACGCTTACGCCTTTGCCCTTGCCCTGGCCCCCCCCTTTCGGCCGAACTTGGTGGCCTAAACTGGGCCGACACGGGCGCCCATATCTTGGCCTGGCGGCCTGCCTTTTCCTGCGAGTTCCCTGGAGCAAATGGCAGGGCGCCCGGCTTCTCTGCCCCCGCATCTCGTTCCGCAATCTTGCGGGACGCCGTCCGGAGACAAAGGTAGAGCACCTTCCTGGCCAACCACAGAGATGCTTGCCCCTGTAGTGGCTGCCGCCAAAGCGGCAAGGTTTTGGTCAGGGTTTTGCTCCGAAAAGGCTCACCACAATCGAAGCAAAGACTTATTTTTTTCGGGAGCTTCCCCCGGGCTAATAAAATAAGTCTTTGCTTTCGCTTTGCCCTCCTTTTTGTGGCTGAAAGTGTGGGGCTGTTCTGGGCCGGTATGTTCGCCCACATCGTGCCCAGACAACCTACCCGGCCCTGCAAGTTACTTGGAGCATATGGCAGGGCGCCCGTCTTTTCTGCCTCCGGATCTCGCTCCGCAATCTTGCGCGGCGACGTGCGGAGGGAGAGGTAGATCACCTTCATGGCCAGCCACGGAGATGCTTGGCTCTGAGGTGTCCGCCGTCGACCTCATCTTCAAACCAAAGCCTTATTTTATTAGGTCGCGTTCCAGACAAAAAAAAATTAAGGCTTAGGTTTGGAGATGAGGTCGACAACCCAACCTCAAAGATCGCCCTCTCTTTTTGCGGTCCACTCTCGCTTCATCCCGGCGTGGACCTTAGCGTCACAATTCTCAACTTTTCCTCGTGGACCTAAATTTGCGCACTATCACCCACGCGCTACTCTTTTTCTTTGAAATTCAACCAACACCAGGCGAGATGCACGGTAGGGCGTCGGCAATATCCTTTTCCTTCCACATAATTGCTTCTCATCGTGCTTCATAGATAAGAGTAAGACACGAGAGAGTTGATGTTGGATATCGTGCGCCGTATGAGGCAGATGGCACTTGCAGTTCAACATTGTCGCTCTTCCACAGAAAAATAAAGAACACATGCCCGCTGGGCGAAGCACACCTGGCGGGGCCACCCTTCGCAGCGCCGGCCGTAGTTCCGCTATGATCGTGGCCGACGGGGACGGCGTGTTTTTAGTGCTTTGCTCTACCTACTACTTTTTTTTACCTAGTAGGGCTTATTTTGCTTTCCGATCGATTTGCTGTTGGCTGGCTTCAGCACTCCAGGAAAAAAGTTCCGCGCCATCAACAACTTCGGCTTTTTTGATCAGAAGGCGCTTTTGCAGCATAATTCTTAATAGCCAAGCAATCAAATCGTTGCACAAAGGGCAAGAAGAGCTGGCGCTTGCTGAGCTGTACTGCCTTAAACCTTTCGGGTGACACTTTTTCGTAGAGGAATTGTTTCTACTTCCAAGAATATTGTACGGATTTCTACATCAATATGGTGTGTCTGTCCCTTACAAGAACTTTTTTTTGGTTACACGAGGTAGCAGATTTTTCACCCTTGCGGCCTTCGCTGGTACTAATATCCGCATTGATATACAACTACGTGGTGGATTCGTTTACTTAATCATGCAAAAACAAAACTGAAAGTATTAAAATTGTTGTTGTTCATGATGTTCTCCTGTTGTTATTTTTTATGAAGACGCAATTTCAAATCAATATCAATACTTCTAAAGTTGGAGACTATAATTTCATCATCAAAACTTGGTCTGACTGCAGTTCCGATTCTAGGAAAGAACGAAGTAACGAACTCGTCCCACTAGGAAAACAGATTCGAACTCAATGTCAATAGTGTACTAGATTCCGCACGAAAAATAAACAGATTCAAACTCAATAGTTTTAGTTTCGTTGTAGTAATGGTACATAATTAGAAGATAGAGATACTCAGAGACAGTTACAAAACCCACATCAACAAGCTGGATGTGGAACAAGCTCAATAAAGAACTCAGTACCTTTCTAAAGTAGATTCTCACTTTCGATATATCCGTTTACGTAGAGGTAGATCATGATCATCGATGACTTGAATAGGGCAATGACAATAGTTAGTGGTATGCATAGATGAAGAGGCATAAAAAAGACCTACACTTCTATTTTTTCTTTGAAACACTCACACAAAACAAACCAGACGAAAACAAGCTACAGCATTGTCCTCTGCCTCCGACCGCAGACAATTGTTGTTGTTCGTGTTCCTGTATCGGACGAAAAGGAAAAAGCTCCTGCTTCATTCACTATGGCGATTGGTTCTGCAGTAGACCGCGCATCATGACAAGTTTGCTTTCTATCCTCGCGGCATGAAAGAGAAAATGTGCTATGCAGCGTGCTTCTGCTTCCTGAAAAGGGAGCGGGTAACCTTTGCTGTGAATTTCGTACCCCACTCTAAGAGTCTCTTAGTAGTTTGAGTTTCTTACTCACGACTTACAGAGAAGAACGTGTGCGTGAAGCAGCTTGTTTTCGTTTTTCTCGGGATACAATCCCAATCGTCCGGGTTGAAAAGCTTCACATCCCCCCCCCGTTCTTATCGGCACTTGGTCGTGCACGACCAGCTTCTCACGGTGCTGCCATCTCGACGCCTTCGCCTTCTGCAGCGACCTCGCCGGCAAGCTCCTTCATTTCCGCTTTGTCCGGCATAATCATCCCCTTCACGGCATCGAGCAAGCCCTATCAGAGTGCACAACCGCGTGGTCCCAACCGCCTCTCAACTCATTTACATTTGTACTACTGCATGAACAACAACATCAGAAGGGTCAGCAAGAGACAGAAAGAATGCAGCTTTTCTTTCATGAAAAACTTTCACAGGATTGTAGTGGTCTTTGGGCTCCTCCTCGCTCCTGCCAGAATCTGTGATGCTGACATTTCCAAGGGGTTGCAAAAAAACAAAGTGGAAATTTGCTTTGGTATTTTGCATGATGAAGACAAATGAGGGGGAGGGGGCCGACGAGTTGTGCAGCACTTTCATAAGCCCAAGAACGCCGGCGCGAACACGAAGCCGGCGAGCCCGGATTTGACCACCACCAGAATCACCATCGCCGGGTAGATTTCGAAGGCGAGCGAGGTCGAGAAAATCAACAGCACCAGCTGCTGGACCGCGGTCGAGAGGAAGGCGGTGAAGACCGTCAACCCCATGTCCTGCACCGCGGTCTCCGTGCGCGCGAGACCCCCACCCGAGGTGGTTCGCGAGTATGCAAAGGCGTGCACAATGTGGATGCTGTACTCGATCTCGAAACCCAGGGCCATGATGATGACCGCAAACACGATCACATCCAGCTTCACGTCGAAGGCAGACAGCAGCCCCACGATCTGCACGTTGACCACGAGCATGAGGACCCCAATCATCAGACCGTAGTAGGGGTGCAGGAAAAGCATCATCATAATCGTCACGGCCAGGGTGACCACGAACAAGTACTCGGTGAGCTTGTCCAGCATCTCGTCATCCCTCTCGCTGTTTTCGAAAAACGACGAAACCACGAACGAATCGGACTCGCTGCCCCACAAGTCGGGTCTGGCGGACCGCGCGTTGTCGATGATCGCCTTGATCCGCTTCATGGCGTCGGTCCGCTTCTTCGGATCCAGGGGCGCGCGGCACGCAATGCGCACGGTGGACGAGGTCATGCCCTCGATCATGCGCCCGTTCCCGTTCGCTGGCGCCTGCATGGCCCACACAATGTTGCGCCCCTGCTCGCGGCCCCAGTAGCTGACGTGCGGCTTGGTAATGTCGGGTTTCTGCTGCACGTGGGTAGGGGACATTATGAACTGTAACAGTATCGTACTCGTCGTAAGTTCAGATAGAAGTATTGCAACACAAATTAGCTTAGCATGACAAATGGAATTTCTCATGCTGGTTTAGCTTGAAAAAGACACTTGTCTTGCATGACTGCAATTAGTACGAGTACGATACTTTTGCAGAGGATAGGCATGTGGGAGGTGCAGCACGCGTCCTGATTCACGTCCTCGTACCAGGCATGCATGTACTCGTAGAACATCTGCGGATTGTCTTCCCAGTACGCGGTGCGCTTCTCGTAGTGGGATTGGGTGAAGGCCGGGCAGCTCTGCTTCTCGGTTGAGAAGGTGTTGTGCAGGTTGTACTTTTCATCCTTCAAGGCCCGCATGGTAAAGATCAGCCAGTTAGGCACCGGGGAGACGGTGACGTTGTTGGCGATGTGCGCGAGAAGCGCGTTCATGTCCGCGAACTGACTGATGTCGGACTGTATGCATTGCAAAAGTGTCCGGGTCTGGAAACTTGTGATGCAAGGAAGGGAGTAGTGAGCTCACTGTAATGCGCTGCAAAGCATGACAATTTTTTTTCATGGTTCTGAGTTGCGTATTCCGCATGAGAAGCTGCGTTTTTGCATGACAGGGAGAAGGAGCTCTTCGCGGCCACGCAATACAGAGCTCAGAGTCATGCCAGGCTAGCATGACAAATCTCGCAATCTCCCAGACCCAGACATTTTTGCATTTGATAGACTGCGGGCTGACGGGGTCCATCGAGTACAGCAGTTGGTACTGGTCCAGGGCGTTGGCCGGGGCGGTCGCGGAGAAGCCCCCATTGTACACCTCCGCTAGTTCGTAGCCCCCGCCCCCGACCATCGCCAGCTCCGGGAACCCGAGCCCAACCGCCTGCAGTTTGGCCGCGGTGTCGGTGGTGTTCACGCCCTGGGCGGTGAGGTATGAGTGTGCGCAACTCCGTGCTCTCCTCCTCATTTGTATTCTACTTATTTCCATTTGCATGAACAGCAATACAGACCTCAGCAGATATGAAGCCTGTGCATGACAAGTTCAGGCACCGTTTGTAGAAGTTGTACAACTGCTTGAGCTTTGCATTTGCTCCCCGGAACAATTTGTCATGCAAGCAGTGCCACAAGGGAGCAGTTGCAGTGCAGCTGGGTTCGGAGATCTGCATGACAAATGAGGCGGAGGGAAAGTTGTTGTGCACTCTCGTATGAGGAGCCCGTTCAGGTACGCGTCGTTGATACCGGTGAAGCGGAAGCTGTTCCGCCCCCGTTTGCTGGTGCCGGTGAAGTATCAAATGCAAATATCGATCTGGGTCTGGGAGATCATGAGATTTGTCATGCTGATATGTTGGCATGACCCTTAACTCTGTATTGCGTGGCCACAAACAGCCTCCGTAGCCGTCATGCAAAAACGCAGGTTCTCAAGCGGGATACGCAACTCAGAAGCACGGATGAAAAACTTGTCATGCTTGGCAGCACGTCGCAGTGTGCTCACTATAATTCCCTTCCTTGCATCACAAGTTTCCCGACCCAGACATATTTGCACTGGATATGAAGAGCGTGTTCGTCGGACCCGCGGCGCCGTTCAGCAGCGCGATGTTCTGGGCCGGGTTGGCGATGAAGGGGAGGCGCTTGTTCCCCGTGTTCATGATCAGGTTCATGGGGCAGACCTTGCAACCCAAGTGCGTCGCCGCGGACAGCGGCTCCGACGCGAGGAAGTTTCCGTACAGCCCCTTGTGGTGCACCTCAAACTCCTCCAGCCAGGAGAACACGCCCGGGACCCCCACCGGATTGCTGATCGGGTCGTTCTTGATCTGGTTCATCACGCCCAGAAAGTAGTCCCGATTCGCCTGCTGGTGGTATTTGCCCAGGTGCGAGGGCGGCATGTAGACGGTGATGAAATCCGAGTAGCCGCCCATGTCCTCCAGATGGTCCAAGAACTTCCGGGCCTTGGATTCCTTGTCCAGATAGTCCTTGCCGTTAAACTCGACCTTGACGTCCTCAAACATCACGGCGCCCACGCACAGCAGCGCGATCTCGACGCAGATCACAAACGCGATGCAGATTTTGTTGCTCACAATCTTACTGAACATGGCGTCTCCGGAGGTTGTGGTTAGCAATTTTCCCATGTTCTGCTGCACCTGCTTGTCCGTCCAGTTGCTAGCTGTGGTCGTCTATGCACTGCAAAAGTACTATCGCACTCGTACACGACATCGCAATCACGCATTGCAAGTCCCTTACTTTCTCGAGGTAGATCCGCATTACAAATTCCGCTTCTCATGCTGAGGTAATTTGTCGTGCGATTTTTACTACGTACGATACTTTTGCACACACGATATCGTCCCCGTCTCTTCGGACCGCAAATGCTCTCCGCCGTACTTCTCTGCGAGGACGAACCCCCCGAGGAAAACGGTGAACAAGGTGATGTAAAGGCCGATCATGCCCAGCGCCGTGTGCCAGCAGAAGTGGCGCAACGCCAACACCTCGACGATGGACCCGAAACAGTAGCCGACGAAGATCGCGAGGCAGGAGAGCAGGATCGACCGATGCGCGTACCCGACGGCCTGCTCCATGCGCTCTTCGAACTTCAGCTTGGGTGTGAGTCGGTCGTAGGCGCGGACCAGAATAATGTCGTAGTCCACCACGATGGCGAGCAGCAGGTGAATGGCGAGCGGTGACATCACGGTCAGGGCAAGTACGCCGTCGTCCTCCCCGTCCTTGTCCACATCCCCTCCCATCGCGTATCAAGTGCAAAAGTGTCTGGGTCTGGAAGTCTTCCATGCATATTTTACATAACCCATGACGCCTGTAATGCATGGCCTAGCATCACAGATTTCTAAAGGGCCTTCTGATGCGTATTCCGCATGAGAAACGCCCACTCCGCGTCGCACAAACTGAAGAACTCCTCTTGCTGGTCATGCAATACAGATTTTTTTTACCTTCTAAAGACAGCATCACAAGTTGCAACCTTCCAGACCCAGACATTTTTGCATTCGATATCGCGTCCCACATTTCGATCGCGCCGATGCCCCAGGAGAACAGCACCGCCAGGATGGGCTGGATCACGACCAGCGCGGCGACCGCGGTGCGGGCGGGCTTCAGGCCGTTCGGGCCGCCTTCCGCCGAGTAGCGGATGCCGATCGCGCAGATGAGAAAAAAGATCATCAGGAAGAACGTCCCCACCAGGTTGCCGATCTCGTTTGTGATCACGCGGACGATCTCCATCGCCAGCCACTTGCTGTGGAAAATGAAAACATCGATGCCCCTGTCGTACAAAGCCTTCCACTGGGACTTGCTCGGCGGGTCGTCGTCCTTCTCGATGCCGTAGTTGTCCTTGTACTCCTCAATGATTTCATCCACCCACTCCTCCCGGTCCTCCAGGGACAGTGCGTTGCGGTTCGACACCCGCCGCCACTCGTATGACAGTGCACAACTCCCCCTCCGCTTCCCCTCATTTGTATGGCATGAACGGCAATACAAGCGCCAGCGAGAATGCAGGTTTTGCATGACAAAATGAAAATTGCACCGGATTGTAGTGCTATTAATTTGGGCTGCTAGAGCTTGTCATGCAAACAGTGCTAAGAGGCACAGCCTGATGAATTGGGCACTTTGCATGACAAATGAAGGGGACGAGGGGGAGTTCTTGTGCACATTCATAACTCGTTCCGGTTCAGTTCGCACTCCGAGCGCAGGTGGTATCACACAGAAAAAAGCTGGCAGGTCATATTTGTGATGCAAAAATAAACTGACAAAAAGATTTGTATTGCATATCGTTAATAGCATGCTATGAGGCCGCCCATCATGGCAGATTTTTTTGTGTATTTATTTTTGCATTACAAATATGCTCTGCCCGCTTTTTTCTGTGGGATAGGCGGACCAGGGTGAGGAAGGTTTCGCAATTGGAGATGCGGTACGGCGCGAACTTGCGGTCGGAAGCCAGGTAGGCGAGGCAGCCCTGACACTTGGTCGGGAAGGTGGCCACGGCGGCCCGGCCGCCCAGCACCGTGGCGGCGTTGGTGGCGTCCTTGGTCGCGTCGCGCCACGTGTGCACCGCCGGGTTGGCGCACGAGTCCGCGTGGTCGGTGCAGGTCTGCGGGCACATTTCCGCGGTCATCTTGTTCAAAAATTCCGGCTTGATAGTGCAGCCCCCCACGTCCGCGGCGCACTTGCACGCCTTCTCCGGGACGCCGTCGCAGCCCACGGTTTGCACGGCCGAGTTGAAAGCGATCCGCTCCGAGGTGTCCACGCAGGAATGGCACCCGGGGGTGAGTTTTCCGGCCCCGGCGGCGTTGATGGCGCTCACCGGGTTGCCGGTGGCAAGGTACACGGCCCCGGCGGCCAGGTCGTAGCGGTTGTTCAGTAAGTCCAGGTAGGTTTGCAGCTTGGTGTGCTGGCACCCGATGGCCAGGCAGCTCTGGCGGCACTCCTCCTCCGCGGTGGTGTTGGCCCCCGCCCCGTAGGCGCACTTGGTCTGCAGCGCGGCGTCGCCGCCGTAGGTGCTGCACTGGGTCTGGTCCTGCTGCCCGACCATGAAGGCCGGCTCCAGCTGCGCACAGAAACCGGGCGCGAGGCTCTCGCAGCGCGCCTTGCACGCGTTGCCCACCTCGTCGCACTTCGAGTAGGACCGCATCAGGCACATGGCGGCGGTCACGTCCGCGCAGCTGTTCACCGTGCTGGGCTTCCCGATAATGGCCGCGAGGGCAGTTTCGTCGTCGGTGCAGTTGCATCAAATGTAAAAATGTCTGGGTCTGGAAGATTGCCAGGTTTGTCATGCACATTTTGCATAACTCCTGATGTCTGTGATGCATGCCCTGGCATGACAGATTTTGTGAGGGGTTCCTCATGCCTACACCGCATGACAAATGCTCTTTCCGTGTAGCAAAACTTGGACTCTCTCTGCTGCTCATGCAATACAGATTTTTTTAGGATCCAAAATCAGCATGACAAGTTGGATTCTTCCAGACCCAGACATTTTTACAATTGATAAGTTGCCGTACGAGTAGGTCGTCAACTTTCGCAATATCGAACAAAAAAGTGTTAACGTTAACGGTTTTCTTTTCATTTCTTAGATGGCAGTTATGCATTACAAATTTTGCCTTCCATGCATGTTACGCAATACAAATTTGGGCACCTTTTCTGATGCGTTACTGCATCACAAATTCCGTTATACGTTAACGCTTTTTCTTGTGATACGCAACGCCGCCCGTTCCTCCTCGTCGAGTTCGTCCACCTCCTGCAGCATGCGCTGGCGGCCGCCGCGGGCTTGCAACATGGCTTTGATCGGCTGCACCGGGCAGGTGGTCGAGGTGTAGCCCGCCGCTGCATCCGGGGCTGTGCAGTCCGCTTGGACGGACGCGTCGCGGATGTCCTCGTGTACGACCTTCATCAGCAGAGAGCCCATGTATCCGCTCATGAAGGTGCGAACGGGAAAATTGGAAAGCGCGAGCCGGGTGGGGCCGTCCCAAACGCCCACCAGCGGCGCGGCGGTGTAATTCAGCATGGCGCCGAAGTGCCGCGGGTCGTTCGTGGAGCAGGACAGCTCGCCCAGAAGTGGATTGGCCAAACCGATCGTGGACAGCCAGCTGTCGGTGGCACACCAATATTGGTGGTCCATCTGGTCCGAAGGCACCCCTTCCTGGGTCGTCGACTGGAGACAGGCAGCTTGACTGGTCACCTGGCCGTCCGCCTCAGTGACTAAGTCCATGCATCCGGACAACGGATCCGCACGGCAGTAGGGAATGGTGCGGACCTAAGAAGGTAGGGGAGGCAATAAAGCTGGTTGGATATCATAATCATTTATCATTTCTTTTCCTCGTTCAGCGTTCGGGCTCGTCGCCTCGTCCTTTATTACCATCCATAATGATGGGTCGTCGAGAAAACAAGCAAGTAAAAATGTGGTGCGAACTAAATTGTCTATTTCAAGTACGTACTTACCCCGTAGGCTGCGGTCATTCTTGCAGTGTTGCAAACGTCCGCTGCAGCAACGGTGCCGGCATCCGCGCACTGGCACCCGCGCTTCAGCGCAGAGCTCACGTAGACACTGCCGGAGTACTTGCACACCGGGTGGATGTGTTCTCCCTTGTAGGTGCCGCAAGCGGCCCGGTGCCACTGCGAGGTGGTCTTGTAGTCCATCTTCGTGTTGAAGGGGCAGAAGTCGGGCCGCCACGCGTTGCCCTTTTTGGTCCTCCGGGTCTGCACGTACTGCTCAAAGTTCCAGAGTTCCTGCAACGCGGGGGTCTCGCACAGCCCGGCGTTGGTGCCCGTGGGCTTGTTGCGCATCCGGAACAGGAAGGCGAACGCGTCGCCGTCGGACTTCCCGGTTTTGAGATTTTTCTTCAGGCACTGCGTTTCGTAGTCTTTCACGCCGTAATCGCGCCCCTTCCACGTGTCGTCCCCGATGGCTTCTTTATACGAGATCCGGCCCCCGGTGATTTGCTGCTTGATCGTGTCGTACTTCTTGCTGGTGTCCGACTCGCTGGGCGAAAACACATCGTAATCGCCGCGAAAGACGAAGCCCTTGCCGATCTGCGTGGGGCCGCGCTGGCCGTCGCCGAGCGCGATGAAGAAGGGGATCGCGAAGAGCAGCGGGATAAGACACCCCAGCGAGATGCAAAGCACCGGAAACTGCACCGCCATGCGCCCGTAGGCGCGGCCGACTTTCAGCGCGGCGCTGTCAATCGCCGCGCCGACCAGGGACAGGGGGTCGTCCGCCACCTCGGGTGGAGCGGGCATTTCGCCCATTACTTGCTCCTTTTCGGGTGCTACTGGTTCCGCCATCTTGTTGCTGTTGGCTTCCTCTAGTTGAACGTTTACAACCTCGACACCACCAGCACCAGTCGGGCCACTTGCTTCGCCTTCAGCACTTCCTTCTGCACCAGGTGTAGGACCTCCTTCTTGGTTCCCCGCTTGTGGATCTTGTTCTTGATTCACCTGTTCTTCTTGCCCGGAACTGTTATTTTCGTCTTGGTTTTGCCCGCCTGGGGCAGCTTGGGGCGATTCTGGTGCCAATGCGTCAGAAGTCAAACCTGCTCCTTGAAGCTCTTGGTCGGTAGTTGCGGAAGACATTTAAGTCAGAGAAGTCCTGCACATCCTGGGTGCAAGACAAAAATGAGGGTTTTGATTTTTGAATATTGATTTTTGATTTGATTACACAAAGAAAATAAATTCGTGTTGCCACACACGAAAACACAAAAAGAAAAACTTGAACGATACTTCACTTGGATCTTCCAAAAGGTAACATCAACTTCTTGTCCGGTTAGGTGAGGGGGCAATACTTAGTGGAGGGGAGCTACTAGTGGCTGGTGGAGGTCGTCGTCGACGTCGTGCAGCTACTTACTTAATATACTTACTGCTAGTAGTGCTAGGGGACGAGAGAACGGGGAATGGGTGGGTGATAGACGAAGAACGGTTGTACTTCCTTGAATTGGGGTTGGGTAGCTTTTTATTTTTCGTATTGTTACTAGCCTCTTGACGCGGGCGTCCAGGACGCCCGCTGGGCTAGTAGATTTAAAAATAATTCTAAAGGTGGTTATGTGTTTAGAAGGTTTGGCGTGGGGTCGAGTAGAATGCGGCTAGAAGGTTGAAAAATATATATAACGCTGCCTGTCCCGAGGAAGATCGTTGCCGCGCCTGCGCTTGCCCTAGCGGCCTCGCCGCTTTAACGCCTTTTGCGGTCCGGCGTCCAGGACACCGGCCCGCCGTCAGCCCTTTAGCCGCGTTGCCGCGCCTGCGCTTGCCCTAGCGGCATCGCCGCTTTAACGCCTTTTGCGGTCCGGCGTCCAGGACGCCGGCCCGCCGTCAGCCCTTTAGCCGCACGCGGCAAGCAAAGCGAAGGGGGCCGGTTGCGAAGCTTATTCTGGGGCGGCTTCGGCGGCCGGCGCAAAGAAAGCCCCCGCCCCTGGATGGGGATGAGACTCACGCTTCCGGGGGCTTGTTCGCGCGGTTTTGCCTCGCGCCCCCCCGCCCATGCCATGCACCAGAAGCCGAGAGGCAAAAGCGTGCCCGGCCGAAACGAAAGAGGTGGCAAAAGGTGACTGCCTGGAAGCTCTTGGCCATCACTCTTGCTCGGTTGCCCGACCGGAAAGTGATGAGCAAAAGTGATGGCCATGGAGCACTTGGCAAATACTTTTGCGCGACCCGACCCGAAAGCGGTGGCCGCGGAGCTCTTGGCCAACACTTTTGCCCGCGCGGGAAGAAAGAAAGTGGCTGAGTGATGGCCGAAAATGACGGCCAGGGAGCTCTTGGCCATCACTTTCGCCCGACCGTGCCGGAAGGCGATGGCCAAAAGCGATGGCCCGCGCAGGGAGCTCTTGGCCACCACTTTTGCCCGCCCGGAACGAAAGTGATGGCCAACGAGCGAAAGTCGATGGCTGGCCACGGAGCTCTCGGCCATCATTTTTGCCCGACCGGAAATGGATGAGCAGGGAGCTCATGGTCATCATTTTTGCCCGACCGGAAAGCGATGGCCGGAAGTGATGGCCGAGGACTTTCGCATGCCCGGGCGAAAAGCGGTGGCAGCGGAACTACTGGCCAACACTTTTGCCCGACAGGAAAGGAAGCGCTGGGCAAAAGTAATGGCCAAGGAAAGAGCCCTTGGCCACCACTTTTGCCCATCCGGAAAGTGATGGGCAAAAGTTAAAGCGATGGCCAAGGAGTTGTCGCCATTGTTTTTCTTTGCCCGGCCGAAAAGTGATGGCCAGGGAGCTTCTGGCCATCACTTTTGCCCGACCGGAAAGCGATGGCAAAAAGTGGTGGCCGCGGAGTTCTTGGCCACCACCCTTGCCCGACCGGAAAGCGATAGCCACAATCGCTTTCGCTCGAGCGAAACAAAAGCGATGGCCGCGAGGCTCTTGGCCAGCCATCACCTTTGCCCGGCCGAGAGGCGATCGATGGCCACTTTGACGGCCAGGGAGCTCTTGGCCATCATGTGTGCCCGGCCGAAAGGCGACGCCCGAGGAGTTCTTCGCCATCAATTTTGCCAGGCCGGAAAGCGATGGGTGGCCAGGGAGCTCTTGGCCATCCCTTTTGCCCGACAGGAAAGCGATTGCCAGCCAAAAGTGATCGGAGGCCAGGGAGGTCTTGGCCATTACTTTGGCCCGAGCGAAAAGTGGCCACTTTTGCCCGAACGGAAAGCGATGCATGCCCCAGCAGCTCCTGGCCATCATTTTCGCCCGACTCCTGGCCACCACTTTTGCCCGGCCGGAAAGTGATGGCCAAAAGTTTCACTTTTGCCCGACCGGAGGTGGTGGCCAAGGAGCCCGTCGCCGCCCGTCACTTTTGCCAGCCCAGCCCGGCCGGGCAAGGTACGGAGCTTTTGGCCATCACTTTTGGCCGCCCGGAAACTGGTGGCAAAAAATGATCGCCGCGGAGTTCTTGGCCACCATTTTTGCCCGCCCCGGCCGGAAAGCGATGGCCAAAAGTTATTGCCAAGGAGCCCCGGGCCATCACTTTTGTCCGTCCCGAAAGTGCTCTTGGCCTCCACTTTGTTTTGCTCGGCGGGCCCACCGGAAAGTGGGGGCCAAGCTCTTGGCCACCACTTTTGCCCGGGCGGCCGGAAAGTGATGGCCAAAAGTTAGTTTCAACTTTGCTCGACCGGAGGTGATGGCCAAGGAGCCCTTCGCCGTCACTTTTGCCCCGCCCGGCTGGGCTAGGAGCTTCTGACCATCGCTTTTGCCCGCCCGGAAAGTGGTGGCCAAACGTGATCGCTGCGAAGTTCTTGGCCACAACTTTTGCTCGGCCGGAAAATGATGGCCGGGGAGCTCTTGTCCATCACTTTTGCCCGGGCGAAAAGCGATGGCCAAAAGTGATGGCCAAGCAGCTCTCGGCCACCACTTTTGCCCGATCGGAAAGTGATGGCCAAGGAGCTTTCGCCCCTCACTTTTGCCCGACCGGAAGCAAAGCGATGGCCGCCAAAAGTAGTGGCCGAGGAGCTGCTGTTGGGTGGCCATCACCTTGCTCGCCCGGGCGGAAGGTCATGGATGGCCAAGGAACTCCTGGCCGCCATTTTTGCCGGGGGGGACAGGAAGTAACGTTTGCTCGACCGGAAAGCGATGGCCAGGGGGCTCCTGGCCCTCACTCTTGCCCGGCCGGAAGGTGATGGCCAAGCAACCAAGGAGCTCGCAGCCCTCACTTTTGCCCGAAAGAAAAGTGGCGGCCAAGGGGCTCCTGGCCGCGCCGTCACTTTTGGTTGCCCGAAGGGAAATTGATGGCCAAGGGGCTCCCTGCCGTTACTTTTGCCCGACCGGAGAGTGATGTCCAAAAGCGGCGCCCATCCAAGGAGCTCTTCTTGGCCACCAATTTTGCCTGAGCGAGCGAAAATTGATGGCCATGGAACTCTTGGCCAGCCATCACATTTGCCCGATCGGGAAGTGATGGCCCAGGGGAGGCTTTTGGCCATCGCTTTGGCCCGGCGGGCCGGAAAATGGTGGCCCAGGAGGAGCGCCTGCCTATTACTTTTGCTGGACCCGACCGGCAAAGTGATGGCCAAAAATGATGGTCAAGGGGCTCGCGGCCGTCACTTTTGCGCCGCCCGTCCGCGAAGTGATGGCCAAGGACCCCTGGGCCATCGCTTTGCCCGGCGACCGGAAACGATGGCCCACCCAGGAGGCGCTCTTGGCCACCACTTAGACGAAGAACGGTTGTACTTCCTTGAATTGGGGTTGGGTAGCTTTTTATTTTTCGTATTGTTATGCTATACTGTTACTGTACTACAATCAACGAAGGGACGAACGTTCCCAACACTTGCTGATTGATATTTTGGACCGGTGCCTGTGATAAGACACTTCTGCTGGATTCCTCGATATCGATAAAGGTATAAGCTGTAGCTGATCTAACTATCGTTCCATAACGATAGAAGTAGAAGGCCACTGAAGAGTAGAGTCCACTACTAGTAGAGACGGAAAATTATATTACGACTATTGTACAGGTGCAGTCTGCACGAAGCAGACTTGGAAAATAAGAGGAAAATGTAATATTATACACGCTACTACGCATCCACCTGGGAGCGATAGTAGGGGAAAATCGGCCTGTTCGAAGCGATTTGCGATAAGAAGTGATGGCTTTCTCAGTTGGAGACGAGACACGAAGGGTCATCTTCGACATAATATCAACACCAGCATCTTCTGCGACCGCTTCTTGTACTATCTATTTGCTACGAGACCACGAGCACAGCTAGACTGCATTCCTCTCAACGACAGGCCGCGATTTTTCGATGTACTGTCGACCGAGTGCCTGTGCCCACGAATTTTCATACCTACGATATCGAGCTTGCTTCGTACTTTTCTTTTCTGTCAAGTTCAGCGACAGGCGAAGGCGATGGGAAGTTGCGTTTTATTGTTGCATAAGCTGCTTAAAAGCTCTTTTATGTTTATCCGAAACTTGATGTCCGAAAGAACCGAAAGCTGAAATTTCCGTCAGACTGGGTACCGCGCTCTATTGGCGTGCGCGTGGACATACAAAGGCAGCCGAGTAAAATCTTGTGACCGTGAGACGCTTGTTTCTGTTCTCGATTCGATTCACAGCTTCAGGCTGTAGAACACAACTAGGGGACCACAACTAAGCTGGAAGCCCGCAAGAGCTATCACGACCAGTTCTCGTCGTGTGTGATACGAGTACGAGTTGAACTGATGTAGATTACTACTTTAACTTTTACGCTGCTACTATCTTTTCAGAACTGCACTGCTTGTTTCAAGAGCACAAGCAAAGTGATTCTCGTCCAGTGAGAAGTTTGGCTGAGTTCTAAACGACTTCTACCAGTTGCAAAATTTAGTGTACGTTCACGTAACTCCCGAATATGAGCTGTCTACTATGCGCAACATGGCTCGCTATCGCTATGTTTGTTTTTTCCTCGGTGTCAACAACATCTTTATGTGTGGCGCAACATCAGCGCAAGACCAAGTTCGAAGGGATCGTGTCACCATTGTAGTAGATGCAACTGGAACTGTACCAGGAGATTTGTGTAAGTATAGCACGAGCAGCTCCAGACATCAAGTTGCAAACTGTATTCCACCGTGTAGGAAACATGTTCGACGTTCAGATGTAGATTTGCGCGGCCCGGTCTGCCAGTGCGGCAACGGCGCTCGTCGTGCGGCCTTCGTCTTGTTCTTGAGCTGATTTCATTCTGTTCAACCGTTCCATTTCGGCGAGCGCTGCAGCCTTTACCGTGGTCCGCGCGTTGCGCTCTTTGCCCATAACAACGGCTTCTTTCTGCGAGATCCAGCGGTGCAGTTCTTCGTGGTGTGCTGGTTCTTCTTTGCCAACCTGATGGCTGGTGGTGTACGAGCCGCCCTTGATGATGTCGCCTGCAAGAACTTGTTTCGGGATGCGAAAGTGGTCACCGGCCTCGGCGACGATCCGAGCCTTCCACTCGTCGGACCATTCGTTGTTGCCCACACCACTTCATTCAGTGCAAAAGTACTACCGCACTCGTTCTCGTAGTAATTGCAGGCGTGCATCTGCATGACTTGACAAAGCTCGCTTCGTAGGTCAATGAGCAATACAGACTCCATTTTTCTAGGTGAAAAATCTTGCAATGCAATTTCTACCAATACGATAGTTTTTCTATGCATAAACTGCCCTGAACCACGTCCGCCACTGGGCCCCCCATGTCGCTGCCGCCGTGATCGTGCCCCGCCTGCGCGGGAAGCACCTGATGTACCAGTAATACCGTATGATTGTCATGATCATGAATGACTGTATTGGACACAGTGCCATTCTCCTTCTTTTCAACATCGATGATACTGATAGGCTCTCTTCATCAGCACGGACACGGTTTGTTCCATGTACAGTACTATCGTTCCCGCTCCTAGGCTTTTTATGCAGACTACTACAAAACTGAAATTGAAGAGAAGACCTCACCATAAAACAATGAAAACACAAAGTACTACATGGCGATACACATACGTTACCTTCACCCCGTCCCTGTAGGTGACCGTCAAGTAGACCCAGAGTTTTCATGCAAGAAAAAAAACTTTTGTGGCGGTAGTCCCATGTATATCGAATAAATTTCTCATGCGCCACTATCTTTAGTGTGTATGGTTGTCCCTGATGAGAAGAGTAAGAGACCACTCTGATTGACTATTTCATCCTGCGTGGCCATACGCGTCAGCGTGACTGTGTTGCATGTTCCGCTTTAAAAATATGCATATGGCTCTTATTCAGATTAAAAACGATCGTCTACAAAGTTTCTCCTGGATAGTTCCTGCCAGCGCTTTACCGTCATCATCGTCATGCCCGTGGACTCCGCGGACAGAAACGCACTCCGCGCGTTTCTATTTTTCATGCCCAGCGCCTGCTTCTCGATGATCCTTTGCAGTTCGAAGTGGGCGGCCTCCAGCGTTTGGACCTCCTTCGACACGATGGGCGCCAGAATGTCCCACTGTGCGAAAATATGCTCTGCAAAAGTATCACATTCGTTTTCGTACTAATTGCACATGATAAATCTTGTTTTATCTTACCCGAAGCTGCACCTGCATTTGCAAATTCTAATTCCATCTTTCTTTCTGAAAAACTTGGTTGTAAAAATGCAACTTATACGAGTACGATGCAATATGCTTTTGCAATTCATAGTACACCCGGTTGGCGACCAGCTGGTTGAGCCAGAACAGGCTGGTGAAGGAAAAAGTGTTAATATCCGACGAGGACGGGGTATCCAATGCAGCTTGTCCTGTACTACTAGTTGTTTCCTCGTCAGCAACATCCTCTTCAAAGCACCGGTCCTCGGTTCTGGCCAACACGCGCCGTTTCTGCTCCTCGAAAGTCAATTCTTCGCTTATTTCATCTTCCAGGACCGGTTCGAGTGTCATTTTATCTCCTCCTTTCTTCGCATTCGCAGTTGTCGGGAGCAAAATGCTGGCGGTAGTTCTTTTCGAGGAAAGTGCGTTTTTAATATTTTGTGATGCCGCCACGCCAGTGGCTGTTTTCGATGTCCTCGTGCACGGTTTCTTCTTGTTCCTATTTGTATTTCCTCCTTCACTTTCCCCGCCCGACAGCCCCGGGTTTTCCAGCGCTTTTGGCACGGTTGCGAATGCGTAAAACGGGATGTGCACGGAAAACCGCGTGTCGTCAACGCCAAACCAGAAAACCCCGCCGACCTCGTTCGGCAGCCAGTGCCGCATTTCCGCGACAAAGTGCCACGCGGTTTGCTGCGTCCCGATAGACCGCTCGTTGGCGTAGGATTCGCCGGAGTAGTATGAAGATGAATAAAAGCCTCCCTTGCTCCCTATAACCGAAACAAACTGCTGAATTTGCATAAGTACACAGCTCTGTAGTTTTGCAGTCACGGATTGCAGCCAGATGGTGCAGATCGTTGGCCTGTCTCAGGGTCAGGGCATGTGCGTCTTCTAGTTGTATATTTAGAATAGCACATGCCTGCGCCAGCCTGTTCTGTACTTAGCTGGTGCACCAGCTGCAGCATGAGTAGAAGTAGTAGTAGAAAAAGAAATCGCTGGCATTATAACGATTTGCGGCGACAAATGAAACGTGGTTGCAACAGTTTTTCTTTTCAAAATTGTATACAAGAAGGAGGTACGCTTTTTCCTCAGGAGATACGTAAGACCAGGACAACGGCCGATCGCGGTAGTTTGCGCGCCATGGGCCCATACCGACGTCAGAATTCATCTTCAGAGCGGAATCCTCGAAGCTGTTTCGCATTCCAAGCATCAGGTCCTTGGCGGCGAGCTGTAAAATGGATTGGAATCGGAAGACCATGACTCGGTGACGCCGGACTTCTGGTTGTTCTGCCCTTAATTCATTGCATTCTAATTTCACGTGTTGCCTAGGCCTACTTACAACTTTTTGCACAGCATCATTCCACCTTCAATACCTTCTTTTTCACCGGGACGGAGAGCGGCATGCGCGTAGTCGCGCTCGTGATGTTTGCACCGAGCACGTACTTCTCATACTTCTTTTCGAAATCCGGAATGCTTGTCACCCGGCTGAAGAAGGACCAAACCCGTGCGTCCGACCAGCGGGCGCCAGTGAAGCTGATGGGATCGTATGCCTGGGCCCAGTTGAACGGCTCTCCCTTGGACGGGTCATACAGGCCGACCTGGATTTTTGTTTTTCATTCTTCTTCTTGTACAGCTTATTTTAGGAAAAGATTAGCCTGAAGAAAAAGATGATAATGATATAAGAAACGGAAAATTCTCAGGTGTACTACAGCTACAGTGCATAAACCTTCACCTTGGAAAAGTATCTATGAGTATCCTCGAAAGAACAAGCCAAAGTCGCCACAATGTGGACTCAACTTGTTTCCAACTTGATGCACTATTTTTTTACCTTTGTCGCGAAACTTTCCACATCGGGCGCGGCCCGGCAGTTTGCAGTGTCCTTGACGTCAAAGGTCGTGATTCGTGCCTGGTTCGCGTGCCCAGCCACATGCCCGTCGGGGACCTTCACCGCCACCCAGACGGCCCCCTTTTCGTACTTGCCCTTCCCGTATGAGAGAGCACAAAATGCTCTCCCCCTCCTCTGGAACATGAAGGCGAGGCCAGTGTTTCTGGCCTCACCTTGACAGAGGCAGTACCACAGATCATGTAGTGCCTTTATTCGCATGACATAAGTAAGTAGACATACTATCCGTTTCTGCATGACAAATAAGGGGGAGACAAAGTAGTGGCTCACTCTCATATCCCGATCATTTCCAGAATCCACACCTCCGTCGGGTCGGCCAGCGTGAAAGACTCTTATCAAATGCAAAAGTGTCTGGGTCTGGAGATTTGTGATGCTAAAACAACCGCACCGACACTGCCATTGTCCAGCATAGCTTTGGAGGCAAGCCTCCGCAGGCTCTGGAGATTTGTGATGCAAGTCAGGGAACTACAGTGCGCACACTGTAATGCACTGCCAAGTATGACAGGTTTTTCCGTGGTTCTGAGTTGCGTATTCCGCATGAGAAACTGCGTTTTTGCATGACAGGCAAGAGGTGCTCTTTGCGGCCACGCAATACAGAGCTCAGAGTCATGCCCGACTAGCATGACAAACCCACACTCTTCCAGACCCAGACATTTTTGCAGTTGATAACTCCCCCTCGGAAGCATATCCTTTTTTCTCAACCAAGGCCGGCATGATCTGGAGGGCCTCCTGCACGGTCTTCGCCCGCTGCAACGTCGTCCAGATCAAGTTCCCGTAGTCCATCACTTATGCACTGCAAAAGTATCGCATTCGTAGTAAAAGTGATTGCAGTCATGCATCGTTTTCATTAAGGGCATGGGCAATCCGCATTTCAAGTTAAGTGCATTTCTCACCACGCCAAGCAAATTTAATATTTTTGTGCTTGTGATGCTATTACTACCTACGTACTAGTACGATACTGTTGCAATTCATATCACGGCCCCGGGCTGGCCCTGCGTCAAAATCGGTACGCCGCCAAAGGTGGTTTCGCCAATCGTGAGCTGGTACTCGTTCATGTTACCCACCACGTCGTACGTGGCGGTCGGCTCGGGGATTTCTCCCAGATACATCCCGGAATCCCAGTCGTAGATTTTCTTCACCGTCCCCGCGGGGATGTTTTCCCGCTTTTTGTACCGGCCCAGCGAGCCGTACAGGCCGGCACTGTCGGCGGCGTAGGAATACAGCGTCGCTCCGTCGGTACTCGCGCCTGGTGTGACAATCAGGTTCGTGCAAGCGTCGGTAAAAGTAGTTCCGGCTTGGAATATCAACAGTAGGTGGAGCAGACTTCTCAAGGCTGCTACAGCCGCTGCGCCACTGGTCGTGGTCGACGCTGCACCAGAGCCGGCTCCGCAACTACATGCTGAAATCTGGTGACCGCGAACGCGCATCTTATTGATTTTTGTGTTTCTCCGCTTGTTTGTTGTACGTTCCGTTTGAGCCAGTCGCAGTCAAAGAGAAGTAGGTATCAAGATAAACTAAGTGCTTGTAAGTGCTCCAGCTTCTCTGGCATTCCGAGAAAGAAAATCAACAGCCAACAGCAAAACATTGGTCATTGATGTGTTCGACGTAGCCGTACCAGAAAAGCACGAGGAGCAGAGAAAAGACATCGTGTTTTGAGTCATTCCATTCTAAGCGGCACAACTCCAACGGAAAAGAACAGGAAAACGATGGCTCCCTTGTCTTCGAATCGCTGTTGTATCTTCTCCAGATTCATTTTTCTGTTTGATGATGCAGATAGTGCAGTTTAAAGAACGACCAAGCTCCACGTTTGCGTTTCGTACTTCTTAGCAGGTCACCACACGACAAAGTACAGATTTGCATACCAGGAAAAGAGCAGGCACTACAACATATCTACTAGGTCGACTAGCTTAATATTTTACAGTTCCAAAGTGGATGAGCAGACCCGGCGCAATGCGTGCGCCCCCCAAGGGGACCACTGATGCAAGGAAGTTCTTCTTCCACCGTCCGTCTGTCTCCGTTCTAGTTCTTTACTTTTTTGTTTCCTAGAATATTAACACGACCACACACAGCACTGGTGACAACTGCACAACATTATATTCAATTCCACGCGAGCACTTCCTCTCGGAAGTTGGTCCTCACCCGGGCGATTGCCGCCTCGATGTCGCCGTAGGAGTAAGTTATCCAGTTCGTCGCGTTGTCGCTTTTTCTCGCCAAGCGAAAGTCAAAGCCTAAAGGATTTGGATTTATTTCTATTTCAGCATTACATTCTTGTGTGGCCCTTGAAGTCGTGGACCACGTAGCAGGTGAAGTTCCCTTTCCCAACAGCATCCGCCGCAGGTGTCCCGCCTCCCAGTCTCCCAGCTGGAAATCCGGTGGCATCATGATGGACTGATTCTTCCCGTTTGCGATGCAGTGCAAGGTCGGGAACAACCTGGCGTGGCGCACCAGACTCCAGGCCACGCCCGCGGGCATGTAGCGCTGGTTTACCCACGCAACTTCGCCGGAAACGTTATCGGACTCGTAGCTGCCTCCGTAAAACTTGTGCCCCGCCTTGCTGGTGCCGAACAGGTCCCGGAGCGCGTAGAAGCAGTTGCGCTGCTCCGCCGGGGGCTGGCGGTGGTGGAAAAACTTTTTGAAAAATTCGCCTGGGACGTCCATGTGGTCGCCCTCGGCGAAGACCGCGAGGACTTCGACCCGAATGAAGGTGTCTGCATCGATCTGGTACAGGCCAGATTTCTTGTCCACGGCTGCATAGAGGAAATCCCGGAACCCGCTCAGCGTGTTGCAGATCGACTTCTCCAGATCCAGCTTCAGCACGACTTTCAGGGACCTTCGCTTCCACGCGCAATGGTGTCTGCGATTGTATTTCCGGAAGTGGTAGTTGACGTGCTCGAATTGCACCCAGTGCGGATCAACATCTGCACAGAAGGCTTGGTCTTCATCCTCCGTTTGCTGTTCTTCTTCTCCGTCCGTAGTTCTTGTTGGTGTTCTTGAATCGTCCTCGTCGTGTTCATCTTGTATCAATGGTTCGAGGTTTTCCATTGTTAGCTCCTCATCCTGTTCAACATCACCCGATGTCGTTTGGTGGTTGGACGAGGAGGATTTGTAGTTCTTTCTCGTCCCGCGACCACTCTTCCTTACGTAGAAGAGCCGCCCCCACTGGACCACACGACCCGCTCTTGCTCTATTTTTTCTTGAAGATGCCCTGAGTACAGGTGGTGCATCACCTACATTGCTGTCGTCCAAAATGGTGGAAGAAGTGGTTTTCAAATGCGAGGGTCGTTGTGCAGGACGATCGTCGTGCTCATGCCGCCGCGGGTCTGTCCTCTCTACTGCGCCAGGATTATGCATAGCATCGTCATTCCCGGTCGTTTTACTATTCTCCGCCTCCTCGTCGAGTTCTGCTAGCACATCCCGTTTCTTTTTTCGCATATGCAAAGCAAATATGTTCTCCGGTTCTGGAAACTTGTAATGCTGGATTGGGAATAAGAAATGCTCTGTGGTGCACATCGAAGCATGAGAAGTACAGCAGTGTCTGCGCTGCTTAGTGTTGCGCTTTCCGCATGACAAACTGCACTTTTGCATGACAAACAAAAGGGTCTCTTCTTAACACGCATCGCAAACTCAAACTCTTCAGTCATGCCAGACACGCATGACAGACCTTGCATTATCCTTCCAGACATCCAGGGTGGATATCTGCATTCGATATCGCAGGTAGTTCCGCAGCACTTCGTCCAGGGATTTTTTCACAGTCCAGGCGAGACCGTACCCCTCGGTTCGGGGGGAAAATGCGTTTCGTAAAGCAGAGTTCGCCTGCTCCAACACGTGATACACCTCGTAGAGCCCAGAATTGTCTTTGAAGTCGTTCTATGCAGTGAAAAAAAAATATTTCCGGGTCGGACAAAATTCTGCAGCTCTTGGTTTATTTCCAGAACCAGATCTTCATGCAAGGTATATTACATGACAATCTTCTGCAGCTGCAGTTTGTTTTCCAGACCCAGACGCATTTATTTCATTTGCATTTCATACATTCATCACTGCAGTCAGCGGCCAAGCGTCCTCCTTGTGATCATCCTCGTCGCCGTCATCAGTGGTTTTACTAGTACCACGATCATTTCCAAGACCTCCAGTCTTTTGCGCTGACCAGAGCGCGAGCAGATACAGCGTTAACTTGTCTTGCAGCCCCGGATTGTGCACGACCGCGCTGTCTGAACTGTAAATATGTCTGGGTCTGGAAGGTTGCGAACTTGTGATGCATAGATACTTAGATCACACAAAAATCTGTCATGCTTGGACAGCAAATAAAGGAGCTCTTTGTCCTGTCGCCGAAACGAGGCGTTTGTCATGCGGATTAGGCATTGGGAAACCGTATCCAAACCTGTAATGCTAGGCCTTGCATGGCGCACCTTCTGTGTCAAGCAGACACAGCATCACAAACCTCAGCAATCTTCCAGACCCAGACATTTTTGCATTTGATACGCTGCGAGCGATGTGGATCGCATTCGCCAGTGCCATTTCGACGGAAAGCGTGTCGAAGCCCTGTTTGGCGGCAAGTAGTATCGCAAGAAAAAACTGCTTTACTGTAAACTTGGGATACATAGAACGGAACGCAAGTGTGTTTGTCTTGCTACACATGCAACGCATTGGATTTTCCCTTAGGAAGCACGCATGCCAAGTTTTCTTTGTCATGTGTAACAAACTTGTGACGCAGATCTTGCAAAATCATCACAGTGAAACAGTTTTTTTGTGGGATAAGTAGCGAGAAGTAGCCAATATTGGCCCCCGCATCGAGAAACAGTGTGTCGCTGTGAAAGGAAAAAAGTGTGTATACAGAGTAACTCTACAACTTTTGGACGAAAAGGATTATGCAACTGTGTTTGGCATATGACACCTGTCATGCGCAGATAGTACAACGTGCGAACACGTAAATTAGTATATGAAATAAGGAACGGCGCTGATGTTGCACCATGTCTAACATGACGAGCATGAAAAGAGTAAACTGTAAACATGGATTCTCTGCATCACAGGGAATTGTAGTACACGACTGTACACAGGTTTTTTCTCTTGATAGTCCTCGGGATGTGCGTACTGCTGGAGCAGATTTTTGATCAAGAAACTTCCCTGCTGCTCCCACTCCCCGGCAAAGAGGGCGCAAGAAGAAATGAGCCGGTCACGCTGGACAAAGTCGCTGTAGGTCGCAATCCGAAAATCGTGCACTGTGTCCGCCACCAACTCGGCGGCACGGAAGCTCGGATGCGCGGTGGTCGCAGATGACGCAGGAGCGCGAGCTGAGGGGCGTGGAGCTGCGGCAGTCGTTTTTGTGTTCCCGTCGGCGCTCGAGGGTTCGTCAGCAGTTGCAATTATATGCAGTAAAAAACAAGGCGGCACAGGTGTAGAAGCTTTTATTGTCCTCAGAGGTCTTGGCGCGACAGACTCAGCATCAGCTGCAACAGCCCTACCACAAAAAGAAAGAACACGCCGGCCCGGGAACATGTAAAATATATATAGACCCGGGAAAGGTAGAAATTGCCCGAAAGTACTGAAATCGTGAAGCACTTTATCACTCCCCGCGTACCCTTACCCGAAACCACTCCAGCGATACCCTTACCCGAAACCACTCCAGGGTTTCCCGGTTTCCCGGTT